TAAATATAATTAAAATTCTGTTATTAATTACTCATTGCCATGTAAAAAAAATCTCTGATGTCCCTAAAGTGTGTGTGGGAAGTTTCAGCTCAAAATACCACAGATAATGTTTTATAACTCTTTGAAACGGACCCTTTTTGATTCAAATTGTGCATTTTGGTGACTGTCGCTTTAAATTTAATTAAGATTGTGCTCTTTTTAAAAGAGGGCGGAGCTACAAGCACCTGTGTTTCAGCATAGTGGCAGATTCCACATTTATAATCCTCTTAGTTGCTGGTCAAAACTCTGATGGTGGACTGCTGCTTCTCACCTAGGTCTGTTTATGCTAATGAGGCAGGGCGGAGCTACAAATGCCTGTGTGTCAGCATAGTGGCAGATTTAAAACAGCACTTATCTCTATGAAAAACTGAAAATGTGGAGAGAAGGGTCTCAGAAGAAGGCAGTTTATGGAGACTCCGGTGTTCAGTTGTGCATCTACTCCACGTTTTATATGCCTCATAGTTGATGACATTACCTTCAGCAGGTATATTATTTTTTTATTTTTTTATTTAACCTATATAATTCAACCTGAAAAGACTCTCTGAGATTAAACATCTCCTTCACAGAAGTCCTGGCCAAAATGAGCAGCATAACAGCTTGATCCTACAATATCTGGTTTTTAACAAGCTTTGCAAAGATAGATAGATAGATAGATAGATAGATAGATAGATAGATAGATAGATAGATAGATAGATAGATAGATAGATAGATAGATAGATAGATAGATAGATAGATAGATAGAAATGGGTAGATAGATAGATAGATAGATAGATAGATAGATAGATAGATAGATAGATAGATAGATAGATAGATAGATAGATAGATAGATAGATAGATAGATAGATAGATAGATAGATAGATAGATAAATAGAAATGGGTAGATAGATAGATAGATAGATGGATGGATGGATGGATGGATGGATGGATGGATGGATGGATGGATGGATGGATGGATGGATGGATGGATGGATGGATGGATAGATAGATAGATAGATAGATAGATAGATAGATAGATAGATAGATAGATAGATAGATAGATAGATAGATAGATAGATAGATAGATAGATAGATAGATAGAAAGATAGGCAGGCAGGCAGGCAGGCAGGCAGGCAGGCAGGCAGACAGACAGACAGACAGACAGACAGACAGACAGACAGACAGACAGACAGACAGACAGATAGATAGATAGATAGATAGATAGATAGATAGATAGATAGATAGATAGATAGATAGATAGATAGATAGATAGATAGATAGATAGATAGATAGATAGATAGATAGAAGGATGGATAGATAGATAGATAGATAGATAGATAGATAGATAGATAGATAGATAGATAGATAGATAGATAGATAGATAGATAGATAGATAGATAGATAGATAGATAGATAGATAGATAGATAGATAGATAGATAGATAGAAATGGGTGGATAGATAGATAGATAGATAGATAGATAGATAGATAGATAGATAGATAGATAGATAGATAGATAGATAGATAGATAGATAGATAGATAGATAGATAGATAGATAGATAGATAGATAGATAGAAGGATGGATGGATGGATGGATGGATAGATAGATAGATAGATAGATAGATAGATAGATAGATAGATAGATAGATAGATAGATAGATAGATAGATAGATAGATAGATAGATAGATAGATAGATAGATAGATAGATAGATAGATGGGCGGGCGGGCGGGCGGGCGGACGGACGGACGGACGGACGGACGGACGGACGGACGGACGGACGGACGGACGGAAGGATGGATGGATGGATGGATAGATAGATAGATAGATAGATAGATAGATAGATAGATAGATAGATAGATAGATAGATAGATAGATAGATAGATAGATAGATAGATAGATAGATAGATAGATAGATAGATAGATAGATAGAAATGGGTGGATAGATAGATAGATAGATAGATAGATAGATAGATAGATAGATAGATAGATAGATAGATAGACAGACAGACAGACAGACAGACAGACAGACAGACAGACAGACAGACAGACAGGTAGGTAGGTAGGTAGGTAGGTAGGTAGGTAGGTAGGTAGGTAGGTAGGTAGGTAGGTAGATAGATAGATAGATAGATAGATAGATAGATAGATAGATAGATAGATAGATAGATAGATAGATAGATAGATAGATAGATAGATAGATAGATAGATAGATAGATAGATAGATAGATAGATAGATAGATAGATGCTCTTGATCTTCTGTTTATCTGTGAGCAGTGTTGTCTGTAAACAGTGCACGAGGAGCTGCTTTACATTCAGATCAACACTGCACACATCGCCAGCATCTACTCTCTCTGTGTGATATAGGGACACATATGCATATTCTTAGAGGAAAAGAATCCCATGTGTCTTTCCGTACTTATACACAGCATCTGCTCCAGTTCTCTCAGCCTGCGGGGATGGCAGATCTTTATCAAGGTGAACCGCTGACTTTGACCACTTCACTCCGCGGTCACCGAGTAGAAGAACTGACCCACACATCTGACTAAAACACATTATTAGAGCAGAAAGGACTGAATACAGTTTGGAAGATGCATGATATTTATTTATCAATTTATTCTTAAATATATAGCAAATATTATGATAATATATTTGGTAAAATAAGCGTAATCTAGAGGCGCCTTATAAGCCACTTCTGATACAAAATGATCAACAGTCATTATTCGTAGTTCTTAAAACTTGGATAGACGACAAGACTTTTGTCAGGTAGTGTATATGTTTCTTTTATTTCTGGCCTGAACAATTAGGACAGCCAACAAAATCATAATAATTGATCATTACCTGCAGCAGTAACCATCGATCACCATTCGGTTCAGAGCCATTGTTTACATTCTGCTCTTCAATATGGCCGACTGATCATGCGTCTTGAAAACACACAATTTATAGTTATATTTAGTGACTTTGTGAGTGACTGTTTGTTTTGTCTGGTCTTAAAAGTGTCAGAATGATTTGTGCTCCTGACGTCAACTCTCAGGACGGTTATAAAAATAGGTTTTTGTGAGGCCGTCAGCGGGTCGATGTTGTCAATGCATCATTTCCCTGCAGAGTAATTAGAAACAGGGCTCAGGTGATTGCCTTAAAAACAATCTCAATAGAAAACTAATAGCCATGGGCCAAGATGACTGCATGGATTAACCATTGTGTGCTGTTGGGGATGTTTTCATCCACTCTGGGGTGATTCTGAGTCTTAATTTGTCCACAACTTTCTCTGTGCTTCAGCAAATGGTGTGATAAATCTTGTTTTGACACGTATTATGGGAAAATGCTTTAAAAATTCAACAGTACACTTAAATTGACTTCCCTTTCATTATGTTGGGGGCTGTTTTTACCCCTTTGACTTTTATTATAATCTCATTTTTGATTGCAAAGCCATGACAACAAATAATCATGCTTTCTTGATTGTTGCTGGTATTTCATGTTGGAAGGAGGTCAACTTTGTCATGTTTACTGTTGATCATTAGCATAGTTTAGCATGGCTTAAAATGATGTTTATGTGGAGCATAATGTGTGTCTGTATGCAGTGTTGGGCAGTAGCGTCGTTACAAGTAGTGACGCTACTAGCTTAACTATATTTCTCAGTAGCTTGGCTATAGCGTCGCTACTTTCTAAATCGAATAGTTTTTGAGTAGCGAAGCTATATTATTAGTCAAGTAGCGCAGTAGCGTCCACAAAGCTACATTTACCAATCGCGGATCAATAAGCGACATTCACAGATCTGTGAGGCCGATGTTTGGCTGATGAAAGTAAATCTATGGCTGTTTCTCAATTCCAAGAACGCAGAGAACGGACTTGCGTTCTTGTGGAGACCGGTCTTGCCCGGTGTCCTCGGAAGAAGGAACTCAGGAGACCGCGAGGGCAGAGAACGCGTTGTTTGAGAAATGGGATGCTGCGTTCTTCCTGATGGTCATGTGACCTTTACGCGTTTTAAATAGTAAATTATTTAAACATTACAGCATTCATACAATGATTTATTGTTTCCCTCTCTTCAAAATATATACTTTGCATAAAAACATTATTAATATACTCTGCACAATATAAATAAAACAGATTTTAATACGAATTTCAGCAAACAAACAACCCTTAATGTGTTTATTCCTTTATTAAGATATTCATGTTAATGTTTACTCTCACCGTTTCATTTAGGGAAACTCCTGAGGTAAATAAATGATATCTCTGAACTTTAATAATAAATCTAAATAAAATGCTGCGCTTCCCATCTCCAGTCGCAATGACTTCTGGGACTTCCAGAGCGAGTTCGGTGCTCAAGTCTGCATCGTTGCATCCTCGATATCAAGATCACATCCGGGAAGTTTCACGCGTCCTCCGTACTTGCGGTCTTGAGTATTGGAACTGAACTTAGGCAGCTGATGATGACGTTACACGAGAACACGAGGACGCAAGACCACTGAAGAACGCATATTGAGAAACAGCCTAGGTCAGGATGATCTGCTGCTGTTCAAAGCGAGCATCAGATTGGGAAAGCAAGGTGATTTAAGTGATTTTAAAGGTGGCATGGCTGTTAATGCCAGACGGGCTGGTCTGAGTAGTTCAGAAACTGCTCATCTACTGGGATTTTTCACACAACCATCTTTAAGGTTTACAGAGCGAATGCCCTTACAACTGCAACCAATCACTGGGAAACACCCTAACATTCTCATTCACACACACTATGGACAATTTAGCTATCCAAGTCTCCAGAAGCGCATGTGTTTGGACTGTGGGGGAAACCAGAGCACCTGGAGGAAACCCACGGCAACACGTGGAGAACATGCTCCAACTGCACAAGAACTGAAGAACGCATATTGAGAAACAGCCTTATTCTACATCTTGTGTAAAGAGCATAATAGGACCTCTTTACAACCAGTAAAAGTAAAATGAATGTTTGATTCTCTTTTATTTATGCTTATATATTGTTTGTCTTCATTGCAGGTCATGCACACCTGACAGATTTCAACATAGCTGCTATTGTGAAGGAAGACTTAAAAGCCACATCTATTGCAGGAACAAAGCCATATATGGGTGAGAGCTTTATTCTTCTCTTTAAAACTCTGACCTCTTATTAGATTTCTTTGTGTTTTCAGCACAACTTCAGTTAAAGGGTTATCATTATTTTATCCATCGTCCTTCCTATTTTAATCAAACTTAAAGAAATAATACTTTCTCCAGAAGGATAAACTAATAGCAAATACTGTGAATATGTCTCTATAAATCATCACTTGAGAAATATATAAAAAACAATACATATTTCACAGGAAAACAAATAATTCTGGTTACAATACTGTAATATTTTATTTGAAATTGCCACAGATATGTTAGTAGCAGTGCAACATGTGAGATGTTCAATTAACTGTACTTCAGACATCATCTTAGCGCTGTCTTTTGCATTGCTGTAGCCCCAGAACTCTTCCAGCTGGTGGAGGGCACACATCCAGGCTACTCTTTCGATGTGGACTGGTGGTCTTTAGGGATTACTGCGTATGAGCTTCTCCGTGGACAGGTGAGGGACTCTTAAACAATAACTTATACAGAATTAAAGCCACTTTTACACTTTCAGGCCAAACTGTACCTGGTGTTTAACATTACAATTAGGCTTTATTTGGAACAGTGAGTAATGAGGGTGTCATTTTGTGAGGGTGTCATTTTAGAGCCCAACCAATATATTTAGTAAATTGTAAATTTCTTTGTAAAAAAAATCGGCCGATATAGGCCTGTTGCTAACATTGTTATTGGCGAAACACACAGAGATTTTTTCTCTTCTAGTGCTGAGCAACGATTAACCACGATATATATATATATATATATATATATATATATATATATATATATATATATATATATATATATATGTGTGTGTATATTTATGTGTGTGTATATATATTTATACAACAGTTCTGTCTGGTTCTTAATTCTGATTGGCTGATAGCCGTGCGATATTTTGCTACTAACATTACACAAAGGCCTTTTCACCTCTGTGTATTACTCTGCCCACATACAGCAAGCAAAAAGTAGTTTGACAAATATTACAGTTGTTAGACATCAAAAATGTACTTTTGAGGTTTATTTAGTGGAGAATGTAGTTGTTTAGATTGCAACTATGCCGTTTATCTGTAAGAATAGTGCCTATTTTAAAATATTTACAATTTCTGAGAGCTCGTCGGCAGCCAAAGACGGTTGACATTGTCTATCCACAAGATGGCACCAGAACCGCATAATAAGCCCTTGCCCAGTGTGTTCTCTTGAGTGCGAATAAAAAGCTGAAAAACGGAAGCTTCGTAGTTTTAAGGTGGACCGGATAGAGTCAATAAGAAGCTGCGAATAAGAAGCTGCATTCAGCCTCGTCCCTCCTTATCGCAAACACAACAGCAGTCTGGTGAGAAATCTCTGTAGACGGATGGCATTTCATGTCACGGTCAGCCGTATAATCTTAAAATGTGAAATCTAAAAATTTACTGTTTTGTCATCACCTTAAGGGGTCACACACCAGAAGAGCGGCTTCTCATTACGCTATAGAGAATCATTCAAACACTAGCTCTAAAGTGACGTTGGTGAATTAGTAACGGCTTCTGCTGTTCTGACGTCAGCTGCAGATGTGAATGAATGGCGGAAGAAAGTAGTTCCTAATACAAAAGGGTTTTAGACTCTCTGTGTTTGATTTTCTTTTTTATGTACAAGATTGTGCCGTCAAACTGTTGTATAAACGCAATATCACATATTGTTCATATATATATATATATACACATATATATATATATATATATATACACACATGAGCTGCAGTGTGATATGGCTGTATATCGGCACTGATGGGATGCATGTGTTGGTTTGAGGGCGCAATCCCAGTGCCTTAGTTACCCACCAGTGACAATATAAAGCCATAGCGCACTGCTACTAGTGTGAGATTGCGTTTATACAACAGTTCGACGGATGTGTGTATAAAAAAGTCAAACATAGAGTGTCGTAAAAATACTTTTGTAAGAGGAACTACTGTCTTCCGCCATTCATACGCATCTGCAGCTGACGGTCAGAACAGCAGAAACCATTGCCTGTTGTCCAACTTCAAGGATGAAGATGCTGTAGGAGTGTTGGTATTGCAGAATATTGCATGACTATCAGCCATATATATATATATATATATATATATATGTATGTATATGTATATATATATGACTCAGACCTAAGTCTGACTGCACCCCTTTTGGATTTGGATTTTGACTTGGACTTGACTGGTTAAGAACTTGGTCTTGACTTGGACAACAAGGTGGACTAGACCCCAACACTACCAAATATCTAAAAATCCCTAAATTGTTTTCTTGTTTGGTTTCCAGAAATAATATGTCATATTAAAGTTAGTTTTTCCTTAAAACAAGCAAAATAATCTTCCATTATTAAATGTGTTTAAATACATTTAAATAAATATATTTAGCTTGTTGTATGATCATTATTAAGCAGTTTAAAAGTCAAAATGTATGTTCCTACACAGACAACAGTAGGGCGAAAAATTTTGACTTCAACTGTATGCACAAATCATTTGAGCTATGTGTCACATGATAACCTTACTTTATGCATCGTCATGAGAACTTTAAAGCAAGGCATAAACAAAGGTCACAGTAAAAAAAAAAATAATAATGCAGGGGTTGTCAGCGGGAGCATTTAAACTTGCAAAGGGTTAAAACTCATTATGTGCTGCTAAGAATCAGCAGACTAGAAATATAAAAGTTTCATTAGCTCCTTTCACACTTACAGTCTGTACTGGTAAATGAACCATGCAAACTGAGCAAACAGACCAGAGATAGTTTCAATTGAACCAAACCTGCCAAGTGTGAACACACCATTAGTGCGGTTCATTTGATATAAACTCGAGCATCCAAACCCTGTTGTGTGCCAAACAAGCAAACCCAGACTGATGAAGAGCCGACCTTGCTCTTTTTTCAGTCTAGCTAAGATGAATCTTAACTGAAATGTGAACACAATAGACCCAAACAAACCAAAAACAGCTTCTTTTTTTTTGAGTGAGATGCTAATGGTCTAATCTGGTTCAATGATTTATGCTAAGCTAAAACTCAACAGTGTGCCTGAAGTCTCACTTTTTAGACTTGTCTATTTGTGAGTTGTATGTGTATTTTTTAATCGGTTTTATACACTCATCAGCCATTTTATTACGTACACCTTACTAGTCCCGAGTTGGACCCCCTTTTGCCTTCAGAACTGCTTTAATCTTTCGTGGCATAGATTCAACAAGGTACTGGAAATATTCCTCAGAGATTTTGCTCCAAATTGACATGATAGCATCACACAGTTGCTGCAGATTTGTCGGCTGCACATCCATGATGCCAGTCTCCTGTTCCATCTCATCCCAAAGGTGCTCTATTGGATTGAGTTCTGGTGACTGTGGAGGCCATTTGAGTACAGTGAACTGATTGTCATGTTCAAGAAACCAGTCTGAGATGATTCACGCTTTATGACATGGTGCGTTATCCTGCTGGAAGTAACCATCAGAAGATGGAGACACTGTGCTCATAAAGGGATGCTCAATTGGTACTAATGGACCCAAATTGTGCCAAGAAAATCTCCCCCACACCATTACACCACCACCACCAGCCTGAACTGTTGATACAAGGCAGGATGGATCCATGCATGAAAGATGGTTGTGCATGAAAATCCCAGTAGATCAGCAATTTCTGAAATACTCAGAACAGCCCGTCTGGCAACCAAGCCACATTCGAAGTCACCTAAATCCCCTTTCTTCCCCATTTTGATGCTCGGTTTGAGCTGCAGCAGATCGTCTTGACCATGTCTACATGCCTAAATGCATTGAGTTTTTGCCATGTGATTGGTTGATTAGAAATTTGCATTAACAAGCAGTTGAATAGGTGTACCTAATAAAGTGGCCAGTGAGTGTATTACACTATGTATACAATGTTTCTGACTTGTTTAATTTTATATATATATTATATATTTATAATATTTTATATTAATCATTTATAAAATTATATATGTTTAATTTGAACTCTAACGGAGTTGTAAAATAAAACTTTTTTTTTTAAAGTGCACTGTTCCTTAAAAGTAATTTGCACCTCATATAAGTTTATTTATAGATTATTATATAATATATTAAATATATTCATATATTTTCATACTATCAAGTGTCAATGGTACTTACAAGTAAAAGTGCTGTTGCTTTTCAATATGGTTTGGATTTCCTCCTTAGAGGCCGTACATCATGCGCACCAACACACCAGCCAATGAGATCCTGCAGACGTTCCACAAAGCACAGCCCTGCTACCCTGCGGCCTGGTCTTCAGGGATCAAATCCCTCCTAAATATGGTAACATTAATCATACGAGCGTAAATGTACTCACACTTTATTCTTTTATTAATTGACTCGAGCGTGATCTAACACCACAGGCGTTGAAGTTTGTTTTTGTCCCCTGCTCTCAGCTGTTGTGTGTGGATGCTCAGAAGAGGATTTCCAGTCTCTCGGAGCTCCAGGATCTGGAATATCTCTCGGATGTCAACTGGGATGCTGTGCTCAGCAAACAAATCCCTCCTGGATTCCTCCCTAATGTAAGTGTAGGAAACACACACTCACACTGCAAATAAAGAGATGCGCATGCTGACACGGATATACTTTAAAATTAGGGTTTACTGGATGTGTACTGTAGAGACTGATTGTTTTATTGTAAATAAGAAACAATGAGCACGTTTACATGGACACCAGTAATCCGATTTTAATACGATTAAGACAATACTTTAATTAAGAGTCTATGTAAACAGCAATTTTTGGGATTAATTTAATTGAACTAAACAGAAATACAATTAAGACATGATTTTAGAGCCATTATTGAAGTGCAGTACAGACATGTAAACACCGCAATCAAACTATTACCACAGTGTAGGATTTTTATTGCATTTTGCGACAGGATAGTTCACACACACACTGATGTTTGACAATATTCTCTGCACATATCAGTAAAGAGTCAGTGAAGAACCACGGGGATACACATTGCTAAAAAAAACTTAATGTTAGCTCCACATCTAACGATCAGGCACCTGTTAGTGCCTGTTAATAACCCCGGATTAATAGAGGGACCAAGCCGAAAAGAAAATGAATGAATGAATGAATGTATGAGTTTATTAAGCAAACATATCGTAACTGTATATACATTGTAGCAACTCCAGCAATAGCTACTTAATAAACCATAAAAAAACCTCAACAGGTTCATAACAACTAGGTAATTAAAGCATAAAAATTGCTTACACAACCAGAGCATTTTTGCAGGTGAAGCTACTTCGATTTACGTTACGCTTGGCAGGCCTTGTTCAGATGCATGATAATTAGTCTGGATTGAGCGCTTTTGAAGCTGTGAATCTTGGGAATGTCCATCAGCTGAACCCTGGAAAAACATTCATTGGGAACGATCCTTTTGATGTGGTTACTATTGAAGATCTGACAGCTGAAAGTGGGTTTATGCTGTTTGAAATGCTCTGCAAAACTGCTGGATTCTGAAACTGCCTCAACAAAAAGAGCAGTGAGATTTGAGAAAAGATCAGGCCATATAACACTTGCTCATCATATCTAATATGATGAAATTAAGTCATTTTGCAGTGGGATTTTATTAAAAAACTTTTATGCGAGATTTAGTCCTAATTATACCTGTTTTTAATCCCTTTTTTTTCATTTTTGAACACTGTCCTAATTTCTTTATGTTCTTTAACTTTTAAAAATGAGGTCAGGGTTTTTTTGTGGTTGTTTAAATGCATTCGACCACATGAGTATCTACCATAGACTGTAAAAAAATATGGACGTAGTGTCCATATTTTTGTGAGAAATTTGAGAGTTTTGGAGCCAGCCCCCAGTGGCCAATCGAGGAATTGCAGTTTCAGTCATATCCGTATCAGATTAATGAAGATGCATGATAATAACAAGTGTAAATAGAGTCTTTGGTGTTGAAATATACTTTTCGAAACCAGAAATGGGCAAAGAGGTGAGCCATGGGTGGAGCTAGAGATGCCTGATTGCATTCAGCTTAGATTTTTTTCACTTCATTAAATACGACTTGTTTGTGTTCTGACCACATGTGCTTGGTTATACTATATCAATAATGTGTTTAAAGGCTTAACTAGGTTAATTAGTTTAACTAGGAAAGTGAGGGTAATTAGGCAAATCAATGTATAATGATGGTTCGTTCTGTAGACAGTTGAAAAATAAATATTATGAGGCGGCTAATAATATTATCCCTAAAATGTGAAGAGAAAAAAAATCTAAACTACTTTTATTCTAGCCGAAATAAAACAAATAAGACTTTCTCCAGTAGAAAAAAAACATTATAGGAAATACTGTGATTCCTTGCTCTGTTAAATATCATTAGGGAAATATTTGAAAAAGAAAAAAAAGTCACAGCAAGATAAATAATTTTGACTTCAGCTGTTTATGTATATAAATGAGTGTTTGTATGATGTCAGAGGCGGCGTCTGAACTGTGACCCCACATTTGAGCTGGAGGAGATGATCCTGGAGTCCAAACCACTGCACAAAAAGAAGAAGAGGCTGGCGAGGAAGACCAGGGAGAACGGCTCGGATGGATCTCCTCAGGTACAGACTCTATTAAAGTAAACATCTCTGGAGTCTTTAAAAAATAACTTATTAAATTCGGGATGAAATACATCTAAAAGGTTGTTATTGGCAGCCCGACGCAAAGCGGAGCACTGTTGTATAAGACCGAAGGGTTTTTATCAAAAAACCGTCCTGGATGTACTTTATTCTTCTTATTACACAGCCACTTGCCACAGATTTGACGCAAAACATTGTTCTGAGCCATAATATATTAATAATTCGTTAATTAAACTTGACAGAAACGAAAACAGCAGATGGAGTATACACTAATCTGTACATTTTTCAGTCACAAGATGACGCCAGATAGTCAAAAATAAAAAGTTGACAGAAACTAAAACAGCTGATGCAGTATACACACAGTCACAAGATGGTGCAAAACAGTTAAAAACCACGGCCACAGAGACAAGCAGATACATAGAAATGTGGATGTACAGTAAGTATACAGATTTGTATGTATTCACTGATAGTCAAGATGATTCAAAGTTCCCGGATGGGCCAGTGTTATTCAGCGATGACTATCTTGGAATAACATAACTTGGAATGTAGCCACTGACCAATCAGAATCAAGTATTCTTTACAGCCGTGTTATAACATCTAGGTAAACGATTTTAAGGGCCAACTTTGTTTTGGCGGCTCCAGAGACACTATAAGGGATCCCCATGCTCTTCACTTTCGTCCGTGTCACTAAACTCAACCCCTTTCAATACCTAACCACCACCTCCCACCCCCCCCACCTTCTTTCACTTTCACCTGCGTCCGCCTCCTACCCATAACCAACCAACATGCTTAGCCCCATTCACACGGGGCTTCAGCGTCAATTGCATTGTGGATCCATCTGCGCCGCTTCAGAGGCATTGTTTGCTGCAGAAGTTGGGACTAGCTTAACTTTTCAAGCACCGACGGAAGCGCCAGCCAATCAGATTGCTGTATGCAAATACACCAGCTAGACAGTGGCCTATTGCTGACTGAATTTTATTGGCTGACGCTGCTATGACGATCGCTTCAGCCCCAACTTCAGACTCGCTTTCAGTCAAGCGTTGACGCTGAAGCCCCGTGTGAATGGGCACCCCCACCAACTACCAACCACAACCACCCACCACACCCCGCACGCTCTTCATCCGCGACATCCCCACATTTGGTTATATCTGTCAACATTTAACTGTTATTGGCATGTGAGTTTTTCTAATGTAAACAGTCAAAACTATTTTACTCGTGTTACACTACGAACACATTTAACCCAACTCCTAGCATTAAACCCAACCATTGTTAATATAAAACACAGGATATGCAGGCGGATACAACTGCAGTTGCAGTTTATTGAAAAGATGAATGCTATGGACACTGTCTGTGTCACGAGAAATATCGCGTCATTATAATGTTCTGAGCTCTGGTTATTGGATATCAGTGAGCGGGAGCACGATCGTTTCCCACAAACGAAACTTTATAAATTACTCCATTCTTCACATACATGTAAATACAGCATATAGCTTCACAGGACTTGGAATACAACTTGACTTGTTTGCATCGCTTTTATTTCCTTTTGATGTGGTTGCTATTAAAGATCTGACAGCTGAAAGTGGGTTTATGCTGTTTGAAATGCTCTGCAAAACTGCTGGATTCTGAAACTGCCTCAACAAAAAGTGCAGTGAGATTTGAGAAAAGATCAGGCCATATAACACTTGCCTGTTAGGGCATATCTAATATGATGACATTTAGTCATTTTGCAGTGGGATTTTATTAAATAGCTTTTATGAGAGATTTAGTCCTAATTATACCTGTTTTAAATCACTTTTTTTTTTTTTTTTGCATTTTTGACCATTGTCCTAATTTCCTTATGTTATTTAACTTTTATAAATGAGGTCAGGGTTTTTTTGTGGTTGTTTAAATGCATTCGACCACATGAGTATCTACCATAGACTGTAAAAAAATATGGACGTAGTGTCCATATGTTTGTGAGTAATTTGCTCTGTTTTATAGCCAGCCCCCAGTGGCCAGTCAATGAACTGCAGTTTCAGTCATATCCTTATTAAATTAATGAAGATGCATGATAATAACAAGTTTTTGCAATAAATACACATTACTTCTCTTTTATTTGCCTTCTGCTTATTTACGTTGTTGGGAAGTGGGTAGGTTTAGGGTAGGCCCTTTAAAATATTTCTGAAAGTATGCATTTTTCTAACATTTTCAAGTTCATGCAAACTATTTAATGGGATACATATTGTGAATGACCAAAAGCATAAGAGAACCCGACGCATTATAAAACAAAACTGTACTGAGTGTCAACAGGTGATGAGTCGGTAGTGAGAATGTGTTGCAATTTAGGTAAAAAAAAAGGCAAGAGCTTCAGGCAGTTTAATAGTAAAAGAACCTAAATGTATCCATTCATGGTTTATACTGACGAGATACGCTGAAAGAATACATCGACGGAGTTTAGGTTATTGTTGTGAAGCAGTGGAGATCAATACCGCATGACCTGCTATAATACAGTTTCCCACCTCTCTGTATTTCTACTTCAGACTTCCTCCCACTAACTCCATCTGTCCTCAAACCTCTCAGGTCTGTCCTCCCACTGAAGTTGGTATTGTATGGAGAAATGAGCTCCATCCAATCACAGATAAATGCAGCGGAAAATTGAACTCTTGTTGTGAGAACAAAATAAAGCTAAGCATCCCAACAGCCTGCATCTCCTCCTTCCCTCTCTTTCTTGCTGTAGTTCATCTCCTCTTTTCCTTCAGTCTGAGTTCACTAATCATCAGCGCTGCTTATTAGGAGTGTCACGTAGCTAAAACCGTTCCGCTGAGCTGCTCTCAGACTAATGTAGACAATTAAAGCTCGGTGCTAAATATGTTTGTTCACTCGAAAATTAAAAATCTGTTATTTACTCAGTGTTTTGCCATTACAAATAACAGCATGTCATCCTTTCTTCTGAGAAACAATGAATATGAAGCTTTCTTTTAAATCAATTAATCAATCAATCAGTTGGCCAACCAATCAATCCACCAGCCATCCAACCAATCAACTAATCAATTAATCAACTAACCAATCAGCCAGTCAACCAACCAACATACCAACTAACCAGTCAGTCAGTCAATCAACCAACCGGCCAGTTAACCAATCAACTAATCATCTAATCATCCGATCAACCAACCAACCAACCATCATCCAATCAATTAACCAACCAATCAATCAGTCAATCAACTAACCATGCAGGCAGTCAACCAACAAACCAACCGACCAATCAACTAACCAACTAATCAATCAATCAATCAATCAATTTGCTAATTAATCAGTCAATCAATCAATCAACCAACCAACCAACTAACCAATCAAATAACCAACCGACCAATCAACCAATCAATCATCTAACCAATTAGTCAGTCAACCAACCAACCAGTTCGTCAGTCAGTCAATTAACCGATTGACCAATTAACCAACCAACCAATCAACTAACCGACAGACCAATCAATCAATCAACCAACCAGTCTGTCAGTCATTTAGTCAGCCAGTCAACCAACAAATCAATCAACCCATCAACTGACAAATCAGTCAGTCAGCCAATCAGTCAGTCAGTCGACTAATAATAATTCAATCAACCAACCAACAAACCAGTCAGTCAGTTATTCAACCAACCGATCAATCCACCAATCAGCTAACCAACCGATCAATCCATCAATCTGCTAACTAACCGAGCACTCAACCACTCAATCAATTAATTATTTTACCAATTAGTCAACCAACCAATCAATCAAACAAACAACCAACCAATCATTCAACCAACTAACCAATCAGTAATTCCAACTGACCAATTAACCAATCAACTAACCGACCAATCAACCAATCAGTCATTCAATCAATCAACTAACCAGTAAACCAGTCAGTCAGTCCACCAGACCAACCAACCAATCAATCTACTTACCAATCAGTCAGGCAACCAACCAACCAATAAACCAGTCAGTCAGTCAACCAACCGATCAATCCACCAATCAGCTAACCAACCCATAAATCCATCAATCTGCTAATCAACCGAGCAATCAATCATTTAACTAACCAATCAGTCAGTCAACCAACTGACCAGTCAGTCAACAAATCAAGCAATCAACCAATCAAACAACCAACTAATCAATTAATCAATCAACCTATCAATCAATCAACTAACTTATAAATTTAATGTTCTTTGTTTGTATGTTAAATCACTTTTGTCAATGTTATTTAATGCAGACACCAAAATGTTGACATCTCATGTTTGACTGCTATACAAACAAACTCAATAAATGCAAAACCTAAAATCTAAAATACTGGAAAGAATCACTCCATATGGGCAAACTCATAAATTCTTGTGCCTTTTGTGACTCCAAAAACCGTGCCCTGCCAAAAAAAAATCCCATTATTACTTAGATTTTTTTTTGTGTGTTGTTTCTAGTCCAAATATCAAAATATTCTTAAATCAAGAAACATTTTCTTGACAAGCAAAACATATTGTCTTGTTCAAAGAAATAATATGTTAAAATTAAGGGAACTTTCCCCCAAAAAACAAATAATCTGCCAATGGAGTAAGTACAATAATCTTATGTCAAAATGAAAAACTAGATCATTTTGCTTGTTTACTGAAAAACTCAACATGTTATTTACAAAAGAAGACAATATGTTTTGCTTGTCTAGAAAATACTTCTTGATTTAAGAATTTTTGGATATTTAGACTAAAAATCACGATTTTTACAGTGTGGCTTTACTTCCTTCCTGCCCCCCAAAGAGATTTGGCATGTTTCAACCTTGATTCCTAGAAGATCTGATCTTTTCAGGAATTGTCTTGTTTTTAAATAACCTGCCATTAAAAGATAAATCACAAAACACCATATGGAGGTAAATAATGACACTGTTTTTGTGCGTTCAGCAGCAGCTAGAGATTGCATTTCCTAGAGCTCTCTTTATTGGGTGGAGTGTGGATGATTGTAGCGCACTAAGCATCAGTCAGGCTTACTGAAGGAAATCCCTGCGCTTGCCTGGAGCTGCATGGCTGGGGTTTCTGGAGTAAGCACTAAACACTCGACACCTGCTGACGTCTCTCATCACGCACAAAGTCATGACTGCACACATTTACACAGGCAGAAGCTACTACTCGTGGCTTTTTGCTTCGCATTACTTCACATTTTGTGTCGCAGGGTGAATTCGGGCCAGATTGTGGATTATTCAGGCCAAGGTTAAGAGGGGAATAGCGGCGCACCGTCAAATTGTGGATCGAACAGGCGGGGGAACAGGGGATGCTGAACTAACACCCTTTGAAGAGGAGTTGCACAGGAAAGTAGAGAAGGGGGGAGGGGGGTTGGATAGAGGAACGGTGTCGTGGATGTAAGTTAAGAGGTGGTGCGGGGGTCGGTTGTCACAGACGAAAGTGAAGAGGGTTGGGGAGTCACGGAACAAAGTGAAAGTGAACAATGGACGGGAGGTGAGCGGGTGAGGAGTATACCTGTCAACCCTCCCGTTTTTTCCGAGATTCTCTCGTATTTTACAGTTCTACCTCGCTATTATCACGTAAAGGTATTTTCCCGTATTTCTCCCGTATTTTCAGTCTTTCTCTGAAGGGTGCCAAGAAACATTAAAAAGCCGAGCCTCCCTATACGCAACCCATACCACCAAACCACCAGGGGCCGCCCCTCGCTCTTAAATGTGAGTCTGTTTTGTGCTTTAGATTTGTTTAGGCAAGAAAACACTTTGAAATAATTATAAAAACAGCACGATTCCCCTTCTTTTTCAGTACAGGTGCTGTCAACCCTCCTATGCAATCCTCAAAACAGTCATATAGCGGTGCGTGACTGTCAGCTGACGTGCACCATAGTGATAAACAGACGCTGGCTGCGTCCGAAACCGCCTATTACTTAGTAGGTACTGCATTTGAATGGAAACGTAATACTTGGGCGTTAGAAAAGTACGTTCTATACAGTATGAACGTAAAAAGTATGAATGGAATTCGGACGTACTACATCCGCCATTTTGTCATGGTCACGTGACCTACCTGCGTCAATTTTGTCGCTTTCCATTCATGAATTCGCTCGCGGGGCATCATGGAATAACACAGCATGCATGGGATGCGCACTCCAGAATCTCGCCGGAAGTAGTAAGTCATCCGGGTACTTCTCGCATACTGATTTTCGAATTCTATGAATTCGGGCATACTACTCGGCTCGCATACTGATTTTAGCGTACTACATAGTGTGGAAGTATGCGGTTTCGAACAAAGCCGCTGTTTCCTAAACGGATTCTGTACTCGCGATTTGAAGCGGAACAAAAGTCTGACTTTTGGGTGCATGTTTAAAAGACAGATGCAAGATGATGCAAGTTTTGCACGATTCATACGCTTAACGTGCGTTTCGAAAATCTAACTTCAGTGGACATTGGTAACGCGTTAGCAATCAAGAGCTTTCTCTTGTAGGGGCGTGCTTATGACGTAACGCTTGTTGTTGGTGTCCCGACTGGGGAAATCCTCCTACAGACACTAGAAACAGTTGATCAAACTGAGCTAAGTCAGAAGCACCGCTGAAAGCCTCCATCATTAAGGTACAGTTTCTGGAGGATTTTATGAGCTCACAGAGCTGGATGCTCCTCTGAAAGGATCTAGTGGACTCAGACACGGCTCCAAATGAATCAACGCTGTTTTTCAGACTTTCAGAAGCTGTAATTTGCTGATATTTAATGTGACACTTTATTTTTTTCTCTCTTTTGTTTTGTACAGAACGGGCATATCCAGCAGCGCTTAGAGACTGTCCAAAGAGATTTCATCGTCTTCAACAGAGAAAAGTAAGAACACTTAATCAGCTTCTAAATCTGAAAGCGAGTGTGATTTTAAGCTTTAATTTGTATGCATTTAGATCAAATGCATTTAATTTGTATGCGTTTGATGTATATAATATGCTAAATATGACATATCGCCTGTATTTCTGAGGTAATCTGCCTTGTTTTTTAACTGTGCAGAGGTTTAGCTGCTTTACTGGGCCTAATACGCTATTGTGTTTCAATACTGCTCATTTTGGGGGTACTTGGAGAGACTATTTTTTTCTGAGGTGGTATTGGATGAAAAAAAGTTTGAGAAGCACTGATCTAGATTAATCTCGATTAAAATGGCTCATTTGAATTTGTACAAAGGTATTCGGAATATGTGTGCTACAATAAGTCTTTAAGAACGGGTTTCTCAAGCCAGGTGCCGCATTAGACCAGGGGTTTATCTCCTGTTTCCAAAATGCATCACACACTGCTTGAGAAACTGTTCTACTGTGATAATTGAAGATGAAAATAAATGATGTTCAATAAGATGTACTTGTAATTACTAACTGTTTATTCAGTTAAATATGAACGTTGAACTGTAGGCCTACATAAGCTCCAAACAGCCATTTTTGATCACCTTAATCTGACTAAAGTCATAACTGAACTAAACAGAAATGGAGGTAAGACATGTGGAGTATGCAGATATTTGTGGCATTACTGAAGTAAACACTGCAGTCAAACTATAAATTCGCTATATTTTCCAACAAGATCCACACATGCGGACACAGACGCACACACGCAGACATACACACACACACACATCGCGAAATGAGGAAGTTTTTTTTTCTTTCCAGTTGGCGTGCGTTATTAAATTCCATAACACTCTCACCAGTCCTTACTCCTTATTTGCGTCTAACACCCCAGTTTGTCACGGGGGCAAAAAATGAAATGTTCATTAAGTTAGTTAAAATGAAACTTCCAACCTGCAGTTAAAGTCAGGCATCCTGCTGATTTGATTCAGAGGGCACTTTTTTGTCAGACGGCTCACTAGTCAGCTATACATCCGCACTAAAATATCAAGGTGAAAGTCATCATAGCTTGCGTAGAATAGACCCAGCTCCCAACCCAACTTTGTAGATTAACGGCGATATTTTTTGTGTTGCGCGATAAGAGTCTCGCGGTAACGCAGCATTTTAATGCCGATAACAGCCCACCACTAAAATATGTATATATATATATATATATATATATATATATATATATATATATATATATATATATATATATATATATATATATATATATATATAAACATCAACTTTTATTCCAGGTATTTTAGTACACTCTAAAAAATAACTCAAGAGATCTGTCACCACTACATAGTTTAATACATTATTGTAACTTAAAAATTCTAAAATGCTGATTAGATTTAAACTTTTAAGTTGCCAGAATAATTTTATGAAGTTTTCAAAACAGGAAAATATTGATAATTACATCAACTAAAAAATGCCGCTAATTTAAAGGTAAATATATCTGTCAGTTACTTTAAAACAATATTTAACTTGTAGTAACCCAAAGAAATTGGGTTTATAAGTCACACGAATGGAGTTGTTTGTATTTTTAAGTCCACCCACTGATGTTTTTTGTTATTTTTTTATACTTATAATATGGCACAGTACATCGTTTTTTTGTTTTGTTTTGTAAAACAATGAAAGCCTGTGGTTTAATACAAATAAAAAATTACCGTAAAAACAAAACTGTTTTTGTTAAATGTGTTTCTTACAGGCCTGAACTGTTCATTTAAAAACAAACAAAAAGTTTTTTACCAATTTCGGTAATTAGAGGTTCTAAACTTGAAAACGTCCTTGTAATTAAGTACAAAACACAGGATTTGTTTTCTATTTTAATTTTAAAAACTAATTGAAACAACTTATTTTTTAAATACTTGCTATATAAAAAAAAACCTGATTAAAGAGGAAAAGATTTGGCTAACATAATAAAGTTTGTTGTCTGGACTTCATTTTGTTAGATTTTGTCGTAACTTCAATATATTAATGCAAACTGTTGCGTTATTTTTTTTTTTGTCTTAATATTTTTTTAGAGTGTAGACATTTATGTACATGTAAAACTTATAAACCACTATAAATGAGTGCTTTGACAGTGAGATATTTTCTGTATTGAACTCACCATCATATTTACTGTTTGAGCTTTAGTTTTAATGCTCTTATGTTGTACTTCCTTGACTAGATTCCTTGACTAGATGTGTTCTCCTTTCTCTGTTTTGGAGGTTGAGGAAAACCAGAGCAGATACCGAGACCAACAACCTCAGCACAGAAGAGACAAGCAAAGCCATTCAAGATGGACAGAACAACAATGTACAGCTTAACAGTTAGCATTTAGCCCGATCATCCTTTTCAATCAACGCTTTCAGCAAAGCAATCGCCACCGCAGTTTCCAGCAGAATGCATGAGAACATCCATTCAGGACAGACTGGAGCATCTGAATGGACGCTTCCACCTCGTGTGACCCTCTGCATTAAAACTGATGGTGTGCGGTGGTTTAGTGAACACCGCACATGCAGAAATAACTGAATGATGATGCTCTCTGGACCTGGCTGTGAAATGTGTGCCTTACTAGCGAATGGATTTCCCTAATGCGTCTGGAGGCACATGGAGATTTACTGCTGTCTGATTCAGCGAGCGATCAGACTCCGAGCCGTTCGCCGGGATTTATACAGCTGCTCTTGTTGCAGAGAACACAAACATATTTAGTTCAGCTCATTACGCCTACCGTATGTGATTAATACAGTGTGAATCTTTACAGAGCTGCAAAAAAAAACATCCTGTCATTAATGCCGTAGAGGAGATTATTTGGCCTTTCTAGATCTTTTGGTTTTGGATTCGTTGCTGGATCCCTGAATAAGATATTGATCACACTGTACAGATGAAATAATAATAATAATAAAGAGTTTAATAGCAGCATCTGACAAGTCTGATTGAGGTTGTGCATGGTTGAGGTAGACTGGCTCATCTGTAAAGCCAGATAAACACAGCACATTTTCAGCTAAGCCAGCGTTTCTCTAACTTATTCTGCCATTCACCACTTGGACGTAGGGATGGCTTGCTCTAATAATCAGACCCTCCACAATTTTACGATCCAGCGATTGCTGACTAATGCAAAATCAAGCAAATTTTTTTGGCATTCTTATTATTATTAATATTATATATATATATATATATATATATATATATATATATTTTTTTTTTTCCTTCTTTTAAGGGTTTTCATCTTTATTTGGCTAGGACAGTGGAGATTTTACAGACAGGAAAGAGTGGGGAGCAGAGATAGGGACAGGATCGGCAAAAGACCTCGAGCCGGGAATCGAACTCGGGTCGCCGTGAGCACCTTGGTGCTATGTGTCGACGCACTAACCACTAGGCTATTACCGCCGACATTAATATTATATTTTTTATATTTTAAGATTTTCAAATATGATGAAGTTTTTCTCAGTGTTTCGTTTTCTTTATATGAATGACAGAAAAAAATTTAATAAAGAATTATTCAACGCAATCTCACGGCAATTCGTAACTTTTTGATTTAATGGCTAATTTGTATGAATTCAATTTAGTACGATTTGCTCATCACCCAATGACGGTTGGGGTTATGGGTGGGGTTTGGTGCCACGCCTCCTTTTTAAAATCTTACATTTTCGTACGACTGAACTTGTACGAATTTGTACGAATTAGCCACTAATGCCTAGTTCAGACTGCGTGATTTTAGCCACGATTTTGGCTCGACGACAGGTTTTGAGAAATCGCCGACTAATGCCTGAAATCACAAGTAAATCGCTGCACGTGCACGTGAGTGGCAATCACAAAATATGAATTATCAAAGACGCGAAAGAATCGCAGATGAGTCGCTGATGCCTGCGAGATATTTGGCGTGCTGAATATCTGGAGCTGTCTGCGATTCAAATCATGCCGTGTGAAATGAGTTTTGACTGAAAATAACATCAGCCATACAGCCAATGAGAGAGCAGCATTCACTTGTGTGTGTGCATGTGTGTATACCTGCTGCAGGCCAGCGGGAGGCTGGGGGAGAAGTTAAAAGCGCTCTTTTTCGGTTTATTTGGACTCACGAAATGGAGGAAAAACTAGTGGAGGTTTGACAGGACTCAGGAGCAACCGTGTCGGTTTGACATTTCATACAGAAAGAAATTAGTTTATTATCAACAGTGAGGAGAAATGGCTAATTCCCTTTAAACCCAGGTGAGCAAACATGTACATGTTCTACCCCATTAAAGGCTTCTTTCTCATTATGTAGTTAATAACAAAAGATATACTACATGTTTTTGGCTGTGAGACGTAGTTTGGACGTAGTTGTCGGCGATTCTTCCTATAGTAAAGTCATGCAATGTGAAAGTCCCTGTCGCCGATCCATCTTGCAGTGTTAACAAAGCAGCGATGAAATGCAAGCCCAGATAGTCAAGCAGTGTGAAAACATCTGTGACACGACTACTTTGAAAATCATGCAGTCTGAACTCGGCATAAACTGGCAAAACATAAAATACTTACGTTTCCTCGTGAGATCAGGCTGAATTATTCATTTATTCATTTTATTTTTGGCGTAGTCTCTTTAATAATACAGGGTCGCCACAGCGGAATGAACCGTCAACTTATCCAGCATCTGTTTCACACAGCCGATGCCCTTCCAGTTGCAACCCGTCTCTGGGAAACATCCATACACACTCATTCACACACATACACTACGGACAAAGCTTACCCAATTCACCTGTACAGCATGTCTTTGGGCTGTGGGGGAAACCGGAGCACCCAGAGGAAACCCACACAAACGCAGGGAGAACATGCAAACTCCACACAGAAACGCCAACTGACCCAGCCGAGGCTCGAACCAGCGACCTTCTTGCTGTGAGGCGACAGCACTGCGCCACTGCGTTGCCATAAAGAATTGTAATGAAGCTAAATTGTCCATAGTGTATGAGTGTGAATGAAAGTGTATGGGTGTTTCCCAGTGATAAATGGTAAAAATATTGGTGTCTTTGATGCAGTGTCCAGAGCCTGTTGTGTACACCATGGTTTTAAATAAAATTCACTTTAATGTGTGATACGACTAAAAGGTGGCCCTAAACAAATACCCTCATAGCAAAATATCTCTGGTCCAGTTCTGGCCCAAACAATCGGCTATTGCTTGGCCCACATGCCGCAGTGAATTGTGGTACATGACTGGACCAAATCTGGCTTCCAGACAAGGGTTAAACATGGACCATATCTGGTCCGAGTCTCAGCCAAGTTAATAATCTATAACAGCCTGAATTGGGTCAGATATATTGGTGTATCACGACTGCAGTGACCCACAAAGCGAACGGACTTGGCCCAAATGTGGCCTCATTATTGCACTGCTGGCGTGTTGACGACACTGGCATGCATGTCAGCCGAATGTGGGCCATGCATGGCAATGATGGCACTGCATGCATGATGGCAAACTACATTTGGGCCAGTTGTGGACGGTAGGTGTGTGGCCCGGATCAGTGTAGCGATTGTTCACATCAGGTAATGTTAGGCTGGATTATGGCTCAGTTTTTGGGGTTTCCCTGCTGGTTGTGGTTAAAGTATAAACTTATAGCTGAGAATCTGTACCAATAATAAACCTGTTTTGACCCAGTTCAGGGTCAGTTAAGGGTGATAAATTGGCTGAGATTCGGGACTTGTGGCCCATGTGTGGCCCTTGTCTTTAATCCAGTTATGGGCCACTTCATGACCGTCATTCTTTGCGGTACTTGTGCCGTGGGAAAAGTTATTGTGTGGCATGGAGCTGGGCCAGAAAACATTTGCTATGTGGGGAAACTGATAAATCCATTAATCATTGTGCTTTAGGTATGCTATGGGCGTGCTTTTTATAAAGCGACTTTTTTTGGAAATAATAAAAATGTATTTTGGGTCAAGATAGGTCGAACTTACATGGCCCACATATCAATTATTAACATCTGGCCCAAGTATTGTGTGCCGCCTTAAATACGGTGCCACCTCTGCTAAACCAGGGCCATGTTTGACCTACATGCTGTATGCCAGTGCCGGATGAATGCCTGCTGTGCCAAACTTATGCCAAATCTGGGCCAGAATTCTTTGCTATCTGGGTATTAACTCAATTCAAATCTACATCACGACTTAGCAAGCAGATAGTTGTAGATTCAAAAACAAGATGCTAGTTAGCTATGCTAATGAGAGAGAGATCGTCACTAGTGAGCGGGGCTTTCCCCCTCTGATGACACGTACAAAGCGTGAATGTCAATCAAAGTGTTTCTGCAGACGGTTTTTATGAAGTGTGATGATAAAAAATACAATTAATACATTTGTACCATTAGAAGGTAGTTATATTCACACACTGCTGCCACACAACTGTATTTAAACCCCTTATAAAAGTGATTTGTGCGTAATAGGTGCCCTCAATGAATGCGTGTAATGAATAAGGCGAGACAGCAGGAGGACACCTGTGCTGTGGAGTTCATCTGCGGTACTAATGAAACACACATGAAGAAGCTTTGAGTCCTCAGAAACACCCCGGCCGGTGTTGAAGCAGATGAGAGACACTATGCTGGACACCTTCAGGAACAGCTTCGCTTTAAATGACTCAAAGTGTGGAGAGAGTTTTCTTACAACATTGCTGTGAGTTTTATCTAATGACGATCATTGTATTTGGTGGCGGGGGCCGCGGCGTTCACTGTAAACAAGAATATTATATTGTTTCATTGATATTTGGTGCCCTCTTATGGTCGCTCAGACAATCTGCATTAGGCTTATATTGTGTTTTATACCAGGGGTTCCCAAACTTTTCAGCCCGCGACCCCCAAAATAACAATGCCAGTGACTCGCGACCCCCAATATCCTCTGAGGTGGTTATAAATACAGAAACCTTGCATGCAATGACGCAGACACACCAATTAAAGTTGTGTCAGTGCTTTAAATGTGGCGGAAAGTATAACCTGATGTTATAAAAACAAAATGCATCTGACGCTATTGCTGCCTTTAATATAATGTAATTACCCCAGGGGTCGCAATCCAATAGAATTAGTAACTATAAGCTACTATAGTAACTATATAGTATATAGTAACTATAAACGACTATTTTTATTTTCAGTATAGCTATGGATAAAATATGTTAAATCTTATGGTTTAATAAAAATAAATAGATTTTTGGAAATCACCAGGCGACCCCCCTTCATTGCCTTGCGACCCCTCGGGGGGTCCCGACCCCCACTTTGAGAACCACTGTTTTATACTATAGTAAAGCACTTGAAAGATGTTGTGGTAATTCTATATTTGCTATGGTCATACAATGACTATACTAATGTAAACAAATGACCCAAATAAAAATTTTTCTTTATATATATATATATATATATATATATATATATATATATATATATATATATATATATATATATATTATACTGGGTTCGAGCCTCAGCTGCGTCAGTTGGCGTTTTTGTGTGGAGTTTGCATGTTCTGCCCGCGTTCACGTGGGTTTCCTCCGGGTGCTCCGGTTTCCCCAACAGTCCATAGACATGCAGTGCAAGTGAATTGGGTACGCTAAATAGTCTGTAGTGTATGACTGTGAATGGATGTTTCCCAGAGATGGGTTGCAGCTGTAAGGGCATCCGCTGTGTAAAACATATGCTGGATAAGTTGGCGGTTCATTCCACTGTGGCGACCCCAGATTAGTTAAGGAACTAAGCCAAAAAGAAAATGGAGGAATTAATATATTATACTCTAATGCACCACAGTAAAAAAGTATGTGTAAATGTAGTATATTACAGTATTTATTACATTTAATCAGTTAGAGAGTTGTAAATACTATAAAATGTACAGTATAATACACTTTACTAATGCATGGTTTAAAAACACAGTTATTTAACTTACTTATCGCTATGTGGGTGGTACAGAAAGATTCCTGTAAAGATATTTAAACGTATATGAGGCTTTTTCCAGGTACACTTAATATGTATTTTAAATGTAATATTAAATATTTAAGCTTTAATATCAAAATACCCTTCATTTTTAAAAAAGGCTTCATTTTTACCTTCATTTTTTAAAGGTGCGCCAGAAATAGTATTTAATTCCCTGCAGTCTTAATAAAAACTTAATAATTAAAAAAAAAAACATTTTAAAAATATGTATTGTTTTATTTATGATTATATATATATATATATATATATATATATATATATATATATATATATATATATATATAAATATATAAAATAAAATAAAATAAAAATTGAAGTCAGAATTATTAGCCCACTGAATTATTAGCGCCCCCGTTTATTTTTTTCCCAAATTTCTGTTTAACGGAAATTTCAACACATTTCTAATCATAATAGTTTTAATAACTCATTTCTAATAACTGATTTATTGTATCTTTGCCATGATGACAGTAAAGATATTTTTATATGGACTTCTACACAGCTTAAAGTGACATTTAAAAGCTTAACTAGGTTAATTAGGTTAACTAGGCAGGTTAGGGTAATTAGGCAAGTTATTGTATAACGATACTGTTCTGTAGACTATAGAAAATAAATTAGCTTAAAGGGGCTAAAATATAGTCCCAAAAATGTTTTATTTTATTTTATTTTTATTAAACACTGCTTTTATTCTTGCCAAAATAAAACAAATAAGATTTTCTCCAGAAGATACTAAATTGTCAGACTTACTGTGAAAATTTCCTTGCTCTGTTAAACATCAGTTGGGAAATATTTTAAAAAGAAGAAAAAAATAATAAATTATATATATATATATATATATATATATATATATATGTGTGTGTGTGTGTGTGTGTGTGTGTGTGTGTGTGTGTGTGTGTGTGTGTGTGTGTAAGTAATTATTATTATTATTAATATTATTATTATCATCATCATCATTATCATAGTACTACTAAAATCAACTAATAATTGATATTAACATTTATTTAAATTGATTGTCATATTTTTTTAAACAATATCATACTAAACATTTCTCTCATATAAAACTCTTTATTACATGAATATCCATGCAATCTGTAACAGATCTTCTGTAGAAGAAAAATACCATCTCAGCTAATATTAGATAAATCCAGATGTTTGATCTCATTATTTAAGTTTTTGGCACAAATTTGTGCATTTGATTTTTGAAAATGTAATTAAAGTATTTCAAATAACACACTTTATTATGTACTTTAAACCTCAATGTAGTCCATATGCCAACAAATCTCCACATTTGTTTTTGTAATTCATTCATCTTCCTTCAGCTTAGTCCATTTATTCCTCAGGGGTCGCCACAGCGGAATGAACCAACGTTTATTCCAGCATATGTTTCATGCAGCAAATGCCTTCCCAGCACTGGAAAACATCCATACACACTCATCCATTCACACACATGCATTCATTCACTCATTCATTTTCTTTTTGGCTTAGTCCCATTATTAATCAATGGTCGCCACAGCGGAATGAACCGCCAACAACTTATCCAGCATGCTTTGCACAGCGGATGCCCTTCCAGCAGCAACCCAGTACTGGAAAACGTGTATTTTTTTAAAGCTCACAATGTTGTTGCGGACAAAAATAATGCGGCTCACACAACATAAATCAGTTGTAGCTTCTGTTTATTGAGGAACAAATTTTGCACATCACACATTCATTTCAACCTGCTTGTTTAATTCGTCTTTTTTTCTTTTCTTTTTTTTGAGACAGCTGTAAAAAAAAATACAATCAAACCTACATAAATATAATAAACAACCTACTGTACTCCACATCATTTGGTAGATCACGTTATGCCATCGTCATTGAATGCATACAGTATGGTGAACTGCTTTAACCTAAACCTGTCCTGCTGAACTACACCTCAAACTACCGTCAAACATTTGGATATCAAAAACGTATTCCAATACATTTAAGAAAAGAGATTGTAGCACCTGGTCATCTGAGCTGAACTGAAATGCAGAAGCTGAATATCTTTCCCCTGCAGGCTTTCAAACAATTATTATATCTTTTAATGTTATGTTTTCCTTCATGTTTCCCACTGAAGTTCACGTATTCCTTCAAAGCGCGCATCTAAAACAGGTAATGAGAGCAGTACTGTGTGTGAATTAAAGGGATAGCTCACCCATTTGTTTCTTTCCTCTGTTGAACACCAAAGAAGAGAGTTTGAAGAATGCTCGCCCCCATTGACTTCCATAGTGGAATGGAAGTCAATGGGTGCCAGCAACCAGCATTCTTCAAAATATCTTCTTTTGTGTTCAACAGAAGAAACCCTTTGAACATACTATGGCAGAATACTCAATTGTGTGTGAACTGTCCCTTTAAACAAATGCCGGTTATATTTAGCAATACATCATTGCATGTTTGCCTTAACATTCAGTTATACGTTTAAGAAATGCTTGTGATACCAACTCAGCACTTTAAATGAAGTAACATTTACTAGAATAATCACAGCTGATGTACGCAAATAAAGCTTATGAGGGAATAAAGAGCTGCAGGATTGACGTCAAAATTTTTTCCATTAGGTTTTAGGACGGCATTATCAATTAATGAGTAAAACAGGGTCTGTTAAAGCTTACCATTTTGAGTCACGCCTCAGTTTTTATTTGCTGGACTTAAACCCTGGTCCACTCTGCGTCCCAGTCCAATGCTGTACAAGGTAAGCTATCAAGCAAACTGACCTTGCTGGAAAAGTTGTACATATGATGGTGAGCCGTTAGCAGTATATTGCGAACAAATCAGGCAAATAGAAACTGTCGCGTAGCATTTGTTTTACACACAAAATGCAGATGGACCAGCCTAATCTCAGAGGGAAACATAACTATTATATTTTTTTGTCAGTTTAGTGACTAATTCGCATGAACTCATATGAGTTCAGTTGTATGAAAATGTCAGATTTTTAAAAAGGAGGCCTGGCACAAATCCCCACCCCTAGACCCAACCATCATTGGCTGAGCAAATTGTATTAAATTGTACAAATGACATCATACAGATTCATACGAATTGGCTACTAAGTCAAAAAGTTATGAATTGCCGTGAGATAGCATTGGCTGGATGTATACCAGGGTACATATTTGCGGTTTCCCAAATATGTAGCCCTGGGCATGTATCCCCCAATGACCCTGTTTTGTCAAATTTTATGTTTGTTTCTGGAACCATCATATGCAGGACTCAAACCCTGGTCCACTTTGTGTTCCAGTCCGAAGCTGTACAAGGTAAGCTATCAAGCAAACTGTCCTTCCTGGTAACGTCCATATAACGGTAAGCAAATAGCAGTAAATTGCGAAAGATCTGCCAAATCGAAACCACCCCATAGTTTTAGTTTTACACACAAAATGCAAAAGGACCAGCCTTACGAGGAAACGTAAGGCTTCGAGGAAACGTAACTATTTTACATTTTGTCAATTTAGTCACTGAATTCATACGAGTTCAGTCATACAAAAATGTTACATTTTTAAGATCAGGCATGGCACAAAACCTCACCCCTAAACCCAACCGTCATTGGCTGAGCAAATCGTATTAAGTTGTATAAATCATGTTGACAAATTCATACGAATTGGCTACTAAAAAAAGTTATGACTTTCTGTGAGATAGCATTGGTTGGATGTATACCTGGGTACGTATTTGGGGTTTCCCAAATATGTAGCCCTGGACATGTATCCCCAATGAACCTGTTTTGTCAAATTTTTTGTTTGTTTCTGGAACCATCATATGCAGGACTCCAGTCTGCGTTCCAGTCCGACGCTGTACAAGGTAAGCTATCGAGCAAACTGTCCTTCCTGGAAAGGTTGTCCATATAGTGGTAAGCTGTTAGCAGTATATTACGAAAAATCTGCCAAATTGAAACCACCCCATAGTTTTAGTTTTACACACATAATGCAGAAGGACCAGCCTGATCTTACGAGGAAACGTAACTATTTTACATTTTGTCAATTTAGTCACTGAATTCATACGAGTTCAGTCATACAAAAATGTACAGTTTTTAAGAGGAGGCATGGCACAAAACCCCACCCCTAAACCCAACCGTCATTGGCTAAGCAAAACATATTAAATTGCATGAATCATGTCGTACAAATTCCTACGAATTGGCTACTAAAAAAATAAAATTATGAATTTCCGTGGGATAGGATTGGCTGGATGTATACCAGGGTACGTATTTGCAGTTTCCCAAATATGTAGATCTGAGCATGTATCCCCAATGAGCCTGTTCTTTCTCATTTACATTATAGAGCGAAAGTATAATTAAAGGGATAGTTCGCCAAAAAATGATATTTCCTAACTATTTACTCTCTAAACTTTTCTTAATTTCATTCTTCTGTTGAACACAAAACAAGATATTATAAAGAATGCTGATAAAAAACTGACGTTTACATCCATACTTCAAGTTGTTCTGCATTCGCCAGTAAATTTTTCTTTATGTTTAACAGAAGAAAGAAACTCAAACAGATTTGAAACAGCTAATAATGACAGAATTGATATTTTTGTGTGAACTATCCCTTTAAGTTATGTTTTCCACACACGTTATTGTAAAAAGGGAAACCCCATAGGGATTTATTGGTCCAGATTTTGACGTCATTCTTCCACCTCTTTATTCAGATAAAGCCCTCTGCAATGCATGACAGTAGTCCTTCCTCTACCGAACGCAAACTTTTGAAAAACATCCACACAAAAAAAATCTTTTTCACGGGAATCCTACGTTTATCTAAACACATAAATGAACATGTCGCTACACTAAACGCCCGAGTGAATGTTTGCTGGGCTTTTGTTTTTTTTTTGCCTTCCTCAGAGGTGGACTACTGACCTTCAGTCATTCAGCAGGAGTAAATCATGAAGGGTAAGGCTTGAGTTCAGTGTTTTACGGTTTCGTTTCTTTCTTTACCTCTCTAATCACCTTACTTCTACATGGTTGCTTTTATCATGGCGCTCTTTGTGTTTAACTGAGGGAGGTGATGTTGGAGCGGCCGCCGGGAGGCACAACGATACGTCTGCCAGCCGGTCTGATAGGGGCTTCTTCAGGACCTGAGAGAGACATAGAAATGCAGCATGAGTTTAGTGTTTAGTGCCCCCACCCTTTCCCTTCCGTTCACAACTGACGTCAAAAATATAAAGAGATTCAGCCCCCAAAAATAGATACAATAGACAAACCAAGCATCAGAATGGGGAAGAAAGGTGATTTAAGTGACTGATTTAACGTGGCATGGTTGTTGGTGCCAGACGGGCTGGTCTAAGTATTTCAGAAATTGCTGATCTACTGGGAATTTCACGCACAACCACCTCTAGGGTTTACAGAGAATGGCCTGAAAAAGAGGAAATATCTAGAGCGGCAGTTTTGTGGGCACCGAGGAACCGAGGTCTGCAGAAGAGCATCTCTAAATGCACAACACGTCCAACCTTGAGGCGGATAGGCTACAGCAGCAGAAGACCACACCGGATGCACCTCCTGTCAGCTAAGAACAGGAAACTGAGGCTACAATTCACACAGGCTCACCAAAACTGGACAATAGAAGATTGGAGAAACGTTGCCTGCTCTGATGAGTCTCCATTTCTGCTGCCACATTTGGATGGTCGGGTCAGAATTTGGCGTCAACAACATGAAAGCATGGATCCATCCTGCATTGTAGCAACGGTTCAGTTGTTGGGCCCATTAGTACCAACTGGGCATTGTGTCAATGCCACAGCCCAACTGAGGATTCTAACTGCCCATGTCCATCCCTTTATGACCACAGTGTACCCATCTTCTGATGGCTACTTCTAGTGCCATGTCATAAAGCCCGAATCATCTCAGACTGGTTTCTTGAACATGACAACGAGTTCGCTGTACTCAAATGGCCTCCACAGTCAGCAGACCTCAATCCAATAGAGCACCTTTTGGATGTGGTGGAATGTGCAACCGACAAATCTGAAACTGTGTGATGCTATCATGTCAATATGGAGCAAAATCTCTGAGGAATATTTCCAGTATCTTGTTGAATCTATGCTACGAAGGATTAAGGCAGATCTGAATGCAAAAGGGGGTCCGACCCGGTATTAGTAAGGTGTACCTAATAAAGTGGCCGGTGAGTGTATATATTTGCATCACTATCATTGTTGTGCAGTCGCATATAGACCATTTTGAGGGATGCAAACAACAACAATGCTCCCAACGTATTTTCTGTTTTGCATTTTTAATTTCTATAGCTTCAGAGAATCCCAAAAGAGTCACCAATTGATGAATAATATCATGGTAGCTGTTCTAATATTAAGTTATGATTAAACTCCCTCTTTCAACATTTATGAAATGGTTTGATAACAAGCAGGAAATGCTCATGGGCCAATGACATGACCACATTGAAATGGTCTACTTGTGGGTTTTGACTTGCCATCTACTGAACATTTAAGGTACTGCACTCTATATACGGTTTAGGTTCTCTTTCGGTTTCTCTCAGTAACACACATGCAGATTACTTGTTAATCAGTTGTCAGTTACTGCAATGCCAATTTGAGTTTGAGACCCCTGGCATAGACTGTGACCTTGAAGCCAGTAATGTTTCACTTTAGTTTGCACCAATCTTGGGTTTTTAATCACTCTTTGTGGAGCGAACGGAGCTACCCTCATTGTACCTAAAAGCTAGAATTGGTGCAAATTAAACTGAAACTGAAAGGTCTCGTGAAGTGCTTTGAAATGTGCATTTTGTTTTTCGATGTTTGACGTAACTGAAACATGAAGAGGGGGTGGGGCATCGAGTAGCCCCTCCCCTTTAAAAAACAGCCAATAGCATTTTGATTTATCACCACTCTGCCAGTGAGAGTGCTTGAGCTCAAGCGCATCAACTGTGAAGCGTCTTGAAGGGGGCGGGGCATGTGAGATACTGGAGAGCATTTGATTGGTCAGGAGTTTTGATGAGAAACTGAAGTATGAGGTTGATCCATTTCTAAAACCGTAGATCCATTTAGGTGGGAATGACAAAGTACAAGCTATACAAGTTTATATCTGTTTTATACGTCCTAAACGCAAACTTTATCACGGTTTTGTTGCGCACTAGCTTATAGAAACCCTAAAAACAAACAATACAGATACTAAGTTAACACTTTTAACTATTTAAGCACTTTTGAAACCTTAAAAAACACAAGATTCAAAGCATTTTCAAGGATTTCCTGCACCCTGCGTGTGATACCTGATAGTGTGAATCCAGACTGATGCAGGTTCCTGACGGGGACTTTGGTGGGTGATGTTCGGGTGGAGGCTGACGGTGTGCCACCTCTCGACATGGGTGAAAACTCAGACACGGGGCCGTCATACATGCCCCGGGGCACGGCCTTCAGGATTGCCAGCTGAAAGAGAAACAGAAACACAACCCTGCAGTTTCTGACTGGACCGTGTGCAAAACAGTTATAGAGAGAAAAGCAAAGTCTGGGTGTTGGCAACAACATTCCACGCATGCATTTATCCTCATGTGGGCTGTTCTGGGGAACTGTGTGTTCACGAAAATTGAACATTTCATGTTTTTGTGGAAATTGCTTCCAGATTTTTGCTGACAGACTGTCGTGCTATTAATTTTATTTCTGCAATATCAGCAAGATAAGTTTGAGGATTAAAATCCTGGATAAAAAAAAGGAAAAAACTAAATTTTTGTGCTAAAGCAGCCCGGAATAGCATGGATATCATGTCCGATTCCAGGTCCAAGATCTCACTCACCACCTCGGAGGGTGGGAGTGGGCTTGGACTGTCATCAGAGCATGACAGCCCACTCTCCAATGCCGCAAAGGACATCTGGTCCTCTGTGTCATCGAGCATAATCAGCATCAGCATGGACTGCTACTCTCGCTGGAAGCTTGCATGGAGCGCGCCGTTGAGGAGTGGGGTGGGGTCCACGGGCCCAGAGGCAGAGGGTTAAGGCTGTTTTATACTTCTGCGTCAAACGCACGAATATGCTACGGTGCGGCCTACGCGTGGACGCATAGCCCTCGCTATAGCCGTCGGCGTCGTTGACATTAGAGGTGTGAACCTATACTGGTCTCACGGTTCGGTTACGATTATCATGCCTTCGATTCGGTTCAATTCGATATCTCGGTGCATCACGGTGCATTGACGATGCTTTCCATATACAGTGTTATATTTTAGGGGGGATATAACAAGCTGTCTGTATAAACACACTAGGGTTGTAACGGTATGAATTTTTTACAGTATGATAATCGTCTAAAACAATACCACGGTTTGACGGTTTCGCGGTATACGGTATTAAATAGTAATTCTCATAGCAAAGACCCTGAAAAGAATAAGAACACGTTTTCTGACTGAACAAAGGTTTTATTTCAACAAACTTTTGAAAGAACCATTTTAATAGAACTATAGAAGTCTTTTATAAAAATAAACTGAAAAATCTCCCATTTTAATAAATTAAATTAGAAGGAATAAACAAGCAGGGTCTTTTAAGATTAGACAAAAATAAACTTAAACTGTCCTTCCTTATAAGCAGGATAAATGGGAGACCAAAAGTGCAATACCAAGTTTATGGCTGTAAACATGTATTTAAAGCGTTGTTTTTTTCAGTCTAGGTTGTGATGAAGAAATGTAAGCATGTTGAGATTTTCAGGACTTAATCTTGACCGCTGAGGTGAGAGAATGTGTCCACTTGTACAATGAACAAATAAAAAAATAATAAATAATGTGTCAAAGTCCAAATAAACATGGTGCAAATCCTCAGTAAAAAATAGATATAAATATTTACTATACTATAAATAGTTACATAACGAAACTAGATTCAATATGGAACATCCTTAGGTTTTATGTGCCAGCATGGATATGGTTGTCTGTGGATATGGATTTGGATGTGGTTGTCTGCAATGCAGACAAACAGCTGCACTTTCATTTGTGTCTTTTGAAAACAGCAAGAGCAGCAGTTCGTCTTTGCTGTGTCACTGTTTTGTCATGTTTCTGTGCTGCTGTGCATGCAAAAGTACTTAGTATGAGAATTATTTCATGCAAAACTTTTTTTTTTTTGCGTTTTATTTAGCCGCGCATAAATGTATGCCTATCTCTCATTCCGTGTTGTTCAAAAAGCTCAGTGTTGGTCCACAAACAAAAGTGAAACCTATGCTTATTGGTTGTGATATAGCGAGTTTGAACCAATCTGGGCATGGAGGAGGGACAATGCATCAATGTATCATGTCTGGTTTGTCCGGAGACACAGTGACGAGCGTTTCTTTGTCAAATCAGCGTTGTCAAATTTGGATGACGTAACCGCACTGATTCCGGAGCCTCTGAAAGTCCGCGAATGTTATGTGATACATCACTGGAAAGAGATTCTCTTCTTTATGCCAATCTTTGAATTGTATGAATCGGATCAGCGGATCAAAAGTTATTAAACATTTAAGAGCAATACTTATTTTTAGCCGCGGGCGGCTGTCTCGGTCTTTAAGGGTTAAAACCGTTGATATGCAATTGTTCATGGTATGATAATCGTGCACGTTCAAATCGTGGTAAACCGTCATACCGGTATATTGTTACAACCCTAAAACACACAGATACACAGTACCACACTGTCTCATTCAAACACATACACAAACATAGACAGCACCAAAGAAACAAACAAACACACTCACACACACACACACACACGCACTTAAGCCCTCGCAACAGGGAGAGCTCGTGCTGAGCGGAGCAGAAAAACTAAAAAAAAGAAGCACTTTTCCGACGGTCCCTTACTGAGGGCTCCTCTCAGCGCGAGCTCTCCCGGCTAAACACATATTGCGAGGGCTTAAACGGAGCAGTGCTCGTAATGTTGAGCAAAAAAAAAGAAAGACAGCTGTGAAACCTAACCAGCTTTGTCTTTTTGTAGGAAACACAATTTATTTTAGGGTAAGAGGTTTTTGAGTTATTGCCATCTATAACTGAATGTGTGTCAAGAATATCGAAAACAAAACCAACTGAACCGCGCTCATTTCTGGCGCCCTCCTGGATATACAGCACCCTTAGCATTTGCCTATGGTGCTTATGCCACAGGCTGGCCCTGAGTTGGCTGAGTGTTGTAAACAGGCCCGGATTGGCTAATCGGGAGGACCGGGAGAATTCCCGGTGGGCCGGTCCGTTTTTTGGCCGCGAGGGCCGGTCTCCCTAGCTCCAGAATCTGTTGCTCTCAGCAGTCACACTTTTTAAAAATAATTTTTTTATTTACTTGACCACAGCCTTCTTATTCATTATTTTACCGCAGTTCTGCTCTATTTATCTATTTTTTCGTAGCCTCGTGAGCAAGATGGAGCCTACAGGTTAATGATGATATAACTAGCACATTAAGTTACGACGCCGCCATCCCGGGTTCGGTCCTCGTCAGCGAAACTTTTTTTTTTTTTCATTTTTATTGTTAAGACATATAATGCTGTAAGGGTTGTGAATATTTTAAGTTCTAAAACAGCTGTTTTCTCAAAAAAGACGTGATAGTGTAATTAGAAACTGAATTGGAAATGACCTTATTTTAATATAGTCAGTGGTGAACTGAGGTGGGCCGGTCTAAGGCTGGAAACTCCAGGTCTGAAAAAGAGTCCCACTCCGGCCCTGGTTGTAAATACTCGCGCTCACCTCCCTCGCGACAGAGCGCATATGAGATAAATGACGTCAGTACATAATAACCGCTTATGGTTATTACTGAACCGATACCTTATAGTCTGCGTCTGCATTGCGGTGCACCGAAGAAACAATTAATTTTGACACCCCTAGTTGACGTGCACCTCTCAAAAATTATAACTACATGTCGCAATGAAGCTTAGCGCAAGCTCTTGTGATTGGTAGCGATTGTGATTGTGACTTGGTAGTGATTACGAGTGTGAGTCATCGAGTGTTTACAAGTGTGGAGTCCCGTGAAGGAGCTCCAGATGAAAACTTTTGTTTTGTGTTTACGTTATGATTAAAGTTGTTGCATGTCCGCCGGTTCCTGCCTCAAAATGAGTAAAATTAAGCCACTTGTACATTAAGGTAGCATTCAGAAAATAACAAAACACCAGCGAAGAAACTCAACACAGGGGAACAGAAACACCTCACTGTCCGCTAGCGTTTAGAAGGTGTTATTGCATAAGAACATAAACAGCGCGCACAAGTATTAATGCTTGGCTATGCGCAGTGGGTCACGCCGATCACTTGACACAGAAGTATAAACCAGGCTTTAGCCCCCACTGTCACCCACAGATCTGCCCTAGTGACAGCTGACTTGCAGGGGATAGCAGGGATGGTTTGCCCAGGGCTAGCTGCGATCACAGCTGCGCAACAGATATGCCCTTGCAGTGAAGGCATGCGCTGCCCGTGAGCGCTGCATCTATGATAGCCTACCATCATACCTCTCACACTACTCATTTTACTACTGATGTTCTTTCTTGACCAGCAAATAAGAATAGTCAGCTGGACAGCTTCGTTTTCAGAGCTGCTGCCTCGGTCAAATCAAAAAGAAAAAAGCGCCTGTATGAGCAACAGTTGGACAGTTCCATTTTTGTGCAATGGAGGGGGAATTGACCTTTTATGTACAAACAATGACTAAAGGATGCTGTTAATCATCAACATTAAATTTAATTAATAATTCCTTATACATTAATGTTTTTCCATGATCAAAACATTTCTGTCTTCAGTTTGAGTGGGCCAGTACCCTTATGTAGCCTCGCCACTCGTTCTGCCTTAATCACACTGTAAACACAGATAACACACACTCACTGTGTGTCCATGCAGGACACAGATCTGTACCTGTTTCCTGGCTTTGACGCGCTTGTAAGCGAAGTCCGGAAACGGGGAGCAGGGAATGAACCGTCCGGTGCCAGAGGTGGCGTGCAGGTTCCCGTCCTCCAGAACGATCTTCCCCTGACAGACCACAAGCATCGGGGCTCCCCTCAGCTCCATGCCCTCAAACACATTATACTCGGCTGCCTGCAGGAACACACAACATCAGGCAAAAGGTCAGAAAACAACACTGCTGCACTAAAAATGAGCACAGCAGCTAACAAGCAACATTATCAAAACATTGGCTAACAATCTGACAACAGAAATTCAGTAGTTTACAGTGAAGAACATGTACTTGTTTATTTTTACAGAATTAATATTGTATTATCATTTAAATATGTTTCAAGAGTTCACACTTAGCTGATGATTGATTATAAAGCTTGTTTGGCATGCTGTCCCAGGAGAGAGCCCTGAGATCCTCGAGCCTGGGGCTCCCTCCCGTTTGCGAGGCGAGGGGGGAGTTTGAGCTCAGGTAGATCTGGAGAACTCCCCGGCTGTAGTTGCTAATGAACAGATAGTTATTGCTTTTAAGAGATAACTATTTACTAGGAGCATGTCTATGGTGCCGATTTAGATTAGTCAATTAACTTAACCTGCATGTTTTTGGATGGTGGGAGGAACCTGGGGGAAACCCATGTGAGCATGGGGAGAACGTGTACGTGGACTAGAACCAGTGACGTTCTAGCTGTGAGGCAACAGTGCTAACCACTGGGCCACCGTGCCACCCATCTAGGAAAGGAGGAGGAGTAGGGGTGGAAGGGGCGATTCTTCAAAACGAAGATGGCTGTTATGAGGAACTGAGGGTATTTATAATGGCTTAGGAATCGTCTGATTGGTGAATGATGAATTGAATAATGCGGGGCCGGCTGCAAGCAATCATAAGCAGGTGATCCTCTCGAAATTAGTTTATAAATAAACTTATGCCCCATGTCTAAACAAGCTGTGCTCCAAATGATCGAGTTGTTGATGTCATAGTCAGTGATGTCATAAAGTTTGAGGCTCTTGCAAGATTTTTTTAGCTGCTCTACCAAAACAAAACACCAAATAGAGATGGTCAGAATTATTAGCCCCCTGTATGTTTATGCCCCAATTTTTGTTTAATGAAAAGAAGATTTGTTTCTAAACATAATAGTTTTAATAACTCATTTCTAATAACTGATTTCTTTTATCTGTGCCATCATGACAGCACATGATATTTGACTAGATATTGTTCAAGATAATAGTATTCAGCTTAAAGTGACATTGAAAGGCTTAACTAGGTTTAAGTTAGGGTAATTAGGCAAGTCATTGTATAATGTGTGTAGTTTGTTCTGTAGACTATCAAAAAATATATATTGCTTAAGGATTAGGTACTGGGTTGGACCCCCTTTTGCCTTCAGAAATAAATTAAGGCAGTTCTGAAGGCAAAGGGGGGGTTCAACCTGGTACTAGTAAGGTGTACCTAATAAAGTGGCCGTGAGTATATATTTTTAATACACCTTTTTTTAAGGTGCATTTTGGAATATTGTGTAATAAATGTCTCATGGAAAAGCCAAGATGTGCATTATTTTTGAAAAAGTGCATTAAAATATACACACAACCAAGCAGTATAAACATTTATCCGATAAGGAAAAAATGCACTTAAACTACAATGGAAACACATTTACTGAATAAATTCCAGTATAAGCATCATGTGATTGTTTGAACTGATCATGTGGTAACACAACTTTGTGCTATGGAACATCATTTATGGACAAATCAGTGGACCGATTGTATTAAAAAACATCAGAAATGTCGTTTTGGTTAAAATCCCTCAGCCAAAGTCTGTCATCGAAGTGGTTCGGTATTATTATTATCATACTATTACTACCTCCAGAACTGTCATGAGCGTCTGCACGCCCAAAAAGCGTCCCGCGTCTCCAAAATACACCGCATTGCGTTCAATGTGTTCTGAGGCTCAAGTTATTTATTATATAAAAACGCTCACACTGGCTTCTACTGCAATAAATTACATTTTTCAATTTAATATTCAGCACCAGTTCATAAGGAAGTGATGATTTTATTCTCTTTGACTCATTAAATAAAAACCGTGTTTTATTGGCAAATATTTTATTCAATATTTCAGTTTTGTGCATAAGCCTAATTCACCATATTTGGATGGAGACACAGCTATTGACACTCGATCACGTACACAGTTATACAAACAGCTTTGAGACAGGCTGAGAAACTAATGAAGATCATGTGTAGGAGAGTGAGATACGACTCTGTCCTTCATTCACTCTCTCTCTCTTTCTGCCAAACAGCTGGATCCAGGATGGAAACATCCATCTCTATTTCCTCATCTTTAACACACACACACACACACATATACAAAGCTCTTCTCTATCCCTCTCTGTAATCAACATATCCCATCTGTCTAGATGATATTTTTCTGATTCTCTCCAGTTGATACTGTCCATTAACACTGATCTGATCCACAGGTTCTGTGTTTGGCTCTCATCTGTCCTTTGTGTGCCGGAGCAGGACATGACACGCTCTCTGGCTTCTGCCAAGAATGCTAGCATGAGCTCATGTAGAAAAACACAACGCTGGCAGGTAACGGAGCCGTGTTTTAGGCGACTTCATGGAGCATGGGAACCAAGGATACAGAACCACAGTATAAACAACCAATAAACAGTCAGTCGGCCGCAGTTCTGGCCGGAGGGATGGCAGCCAGTGCTGTTTGGATGTGTAATAGTCCCTAGAGGAGTGGCCGAACAGGAAATGAAAATGTGTTGTCATTTTGGCAGCGCCTGAGCTTTGCTGAATCTTTCCTCTGGATACTGTTTTTTATTTCAAACAATCCTGTAGTAAGGAAGTAAGGAGTTCTCATCTCACACAAATCTAAAATCACACTGCAGTGCATCGATTAGTAGCTTTCTCTTGTTCTGGTCATGGTAAAGTTTAATGGAAAATTTTACATCTCCCCTGAAGTTAAACAGTTGAGTTTGACTATTTATTTGAATCCATTCAGCTGATCTTCGGGTCTGACGGGAGCACTTTTAGCTTAGCTTAGCATAAATCATTGAATCTGATTAGACCATTAGCATCTCACTTTAACAACAGAAAATGAATGTGTGTTGTCATTTTGGCAGTGCCTGAGATTTGCTGAATCTTTCCCCTGAATGTTTTTTTTATTTCGAACAATCCTGTAGTAGGGAAATTCCAGTTCCCGTCTAACACAAATCTAAAATCAGACTTCCGGGCATCGATTAGTAGTTTTCACTTGTGATGGTCATGGTAAAGTTATAAAAACACTACTTTTATTTTTTCAAATATGTTAATTTTACGTCTCTGCCAGAGTTAAACTATTGAATTTAACCAATTTTGAATCCCTTCAGCCGATCTCCAGGTCTGACGGGGGCACGTTTAGCTTAGCTTAGCATAAATCATTGAATCGGATTAGACCATTAGCATCTCACTCGAACAACAGGAAATGAAACAGGCCGAGCAGGAAATGAAAATGTATTGTCATCTTGGCTGCGCCTGAAATATGCTGAATCTTTCCCCTAAATGTTTTTTTTTGTTTCAAACAATATTGTAGTGAGAAAATTCCAGTTCTCGTCTCACACAAATCTAAAATCAGATTGCAGTGCATCGATTAGTAGCTTTCTCATATGCTGGTCATGGTAGAGTTTAAAGAAACACTCCACTTTTTTGGAAAATAAGATTATTTTACATCTCCATATAGCTGGCAGAGCACTTTTAGCTTAGCTTAGCATAAATCATTGAATCGGATTAGACCATTAGCATCACACTCAAAACAGAAAATGAAACAGGCCGAACATGAGTTGTCATTTTGGCAGCGCCTGAGTTTTGCTAAATCTTTTCCCCTGGATACTGTGTTTTATTTCGCACAATCCTGTAGTAAGGAAATTTCAGTTCTCGTCTCACACAAATCTAAAATCAGACTGCAGTGCATCGATTAGTAGCTTTCTCTTCTGCTTGTCATGGTTTAATGGAAAACTCAACCTTAAAAAAATAGGCTAATTTTAAATCACGCATTTTCTAAAGAGTTGAGTTTTACCATTTTTGAATCCATTCAGCTGATCTCCAGGTCTGGCGGAGTCCCTTTAGCTTAGCTTAGCTTAGCATAAATCATTGAATCAGATTAGACCATTAGCATCTCACTCGAACAACAGAAAATTAAATCAGTGCTGGTCATGGTAAAGTTTAAAGCAACACTCCACCTTTTTTAGAAAATAGGCTCATTTTACATCTCTTCAAGAGTAAAACTGTTTAGTTTTCCCATTTTTAAATCCATTCAGCCGATTAAATTTTTTAGCTTAGCTTAGCATAAATCATTGAATCTGATTAGACCGTTAGCATCTCACTCAAAAATGACCACAGAGTTTTGATAATTTTTCAATAATTAGTTAGTTGAAAATGAAAAGTTGGTCGATTCGGAAAATAGATATGAAATCTGTGACTGACAGTATGGATGCACGCACAAACACAAACATGAAAGTGTGCTGTCATTTTGGCAGCGCCTGAGGTTTGCTGAATCTTTCCCCTGGATACAGTGTTTTATTTCCATCAATCCTGTAGTAAGGAAGTTCTAGTTCCCATCTCACACAAATCTAAAATCAGATTACAGTGAATCGATTAGTAGCTTTCTCTTGTGCTGGTCATGGTAAAGTTTAAAGTAACACTCCACCTTTTTTTGGAAAATAGGCTCATTTTACATCCCTTCAAGAGTTAAACTGTTTAGTTTTCCCATTTCTAAATCCATTCAGATGATCTTATTTTTAGCTTAGCTTAGCATAAATCATTGAATCGGATTAGACCGTTAGCATCTCACTCAAAAATGACCACCGAGTTTTGATAATTTTTCTGTTCAAAGCTTGACTTTAGTTACTAAGTTAGTTAAATGAAAAGTTTGTCGATATGGAAAATAGATATGAAATCTGTGGCATTTTGAGACTTTTCCTTGCAATAGTGCAGCTACATAAAACTATTTTTCATGAACAAATTAATCCGGAAAAGAGACTGACAGTATGGATGCACACACACACACACAAATGAAAGTGTGTTGTCATTTTGGCAGCGCCTGAGGTTGCTGAATCTTTCCCCTGGATACTGTTTTATTTCCATCAATCCTGTAGTTAGGAAGTTTAAGTTCCCGTCTCACACAAATCTAAAATCAGATTACAGTCAATCGATCAGTAGCTTCACTTGTGCTTGTTATAGTAAAGTTTAAAGAAACACTGGCTAATTTTACATCTCCAGCAGAGTTAAACACAGTACTAAGCTAGACTTATGCTTGGAGTATGCAATAAATTCCTAATAAACATCTGCTTGAACTTAATATGGCAACAAAAGGATATCCACGCCAGAAAAAGCTGAGCTGAAAGATCCTGTTTGTGGCCTGTTTCCTTCCAGAGGAGACATTTATGAGGGAAAGCAGAGCAGGTTCCTGTATTTACACACGGTTTGATGTGTTAGAAGCATCTATTTCTGCTCAAAAGGACTGGCTTAGACTTAATTTTGCTTTGAAATGTGAGTATATTTAGCGACTTGACTGGATATTTGATGCACTTGTATTTGTTTATGGGGCACCTACAGAATGATGTGTTTTGGCAGTGATGGTCCGCACGGCGTCTGTGTCCCAGATAACCAGATCACTGTCTGAGCCCACAGCTATCCGGCCCTTGCGTGGATACAGGTTCAGGATCTTGGCGGCATTGGTGCTCGTCACAGCCACAAACATGTTCTCGTCCATTTTACCAGTGACCTGAGCAAAGGAAAAACACACGCAATTAGTTTTGGAGCGTTCTCTAGAGAATAAAGTGAAGCTTTATTCTATTTTAAAATATAGTTCTATGTATTTATATAGTTTTAGTTTATATATTTTTATTAAAATGTATTTTTATTTAAAAATATATATACATTTTTTCACAATAAACTTGCATCACTTAACTGCATTTAATAAATAAAATGATGACAATTTGGTATAATCTCTAAAAACATATTTTATATGTATATATATATATATATATATATATATATATATATATATACACACACACACAGTATATAGCGAGCAGCACAAAAAAAATATAGTTGGTGGAATAGTTGGCAGTTCATTCTGCTGGGGTGACCCCTGATAAAAAAGAGACTAAGCCAATGGAAAATGATTAAATTAATATACAGGGTGGGCCATTTATATGGATACACCTTAATAAAATGGGAATGGTTGGTGATATTAACGTCTTGTTTGTGGCACATTAGTTTATGTGAGTGGGGAAACTTTCCAAAATGGGTGGTGACTGTGGTGGCCATTTTGAAGTCGGCCATCTTGGATCCAACTTTTGTTTTTTCAATAGGAAGAGGGTCATTACAACTGAGGTCTGCAGAGGAGCATCTCTGAAAGCCCAACACGTCCAACCTTGAGGCGGATGGGCTACAGCAGCAGAAGACCACACCGGGTGCCGCTCCTGTCAGCTAAGAACAGGAAACTGAGGCTACAATTCACACAGGCTCACCAAAACTGGACAATAGAAGATTGGAGAAACGTTGCCTGCTCTGATGAGTCTCCATTTCTGCTGCAAAATTCGGATGGTCAGGTCAGAATTTGGGGTCAACAACATTAAAGCATGGATCCATCCTGCCTTGTATTAAGGATTCAGCCTGGTGGTGGTGGTGTAATGGTGTGGGGGAGATTTTCTTGGCACACTTTGGGCACATTAGTACCAACTGAGCATCATGTCAATGCCACAGCCTACCCGAGTATTGTTGCTGACCATGTTCATCCCTTTATGACCACAGTGTACTCATCTTCTGAAGGCTACTTCCAGCAGGATAACACACCATGTCATAAAGCGTAAATCATCTCAGACTGGTTTCTTAAACATGAAAATGAGTTCACTGTACTCAAATGGCCTCCACAGTCACCAGAACTCAATCCAATAGAGCACCTTTGGGATGTGATGGAATGGGAGATTCACATCATGGATGTGCAGCCGACAAATCTGCAGCAACCATGTGATGCTGTCATGTCAACATGGAGCAAAATCTCTAAGGAATATTTCCAGCACCTTGTTGAATTTATGCCAAAAAAGGATTAAGGCAGATCTGAAAGCAAAAGTGGGTCCATCTCGGGACTAGTAAGGTGTACCTAATAAAGTGGCCAGTAAGTGCATTTATAGTAGTGTTCAACATACGTAATTGAGTACACCCCATTTTGAAAATGAATATTTGTATCCATTTCTCTGTGAATATAGGTCATATATTTTGCTGCACTTGAACAAAACAGATTTATTAAACAGATATATTTAATAAAATCATATTTTACTCACTGAACATTTATAAACAGAAAGATAATGCATTTAAATTCATGTGAAATAATGGGAAAAATATAAACTACAAAGTTTTGGATATATTTTTGGTTTCCCTTTATTTATTTATTTATTATTTAATATTTTTCCCTAACATATATATTTGGCTTTACTAATTTTGGACTGTTATAATCATGGGTTAATTTGTTAGATTAGCTCCAGATTTGGCTTCAGTAGTAATTAATCTAATGTATATACACAAATACAATATTAATAAAGCTACAAAGCTATTTTACAAATAAAGCTTCCTTAACAAAATATGAATCTGTGTACTCGTATATGTTGAGCACTGTATGAATCAGCCTTTAGAAAGTTGCAGTCTGATGCTCACCACAGCCTTGTCCCAGATGATGGACATCCTCTCCTCAGCCCCGTTCACTCCTTCAGGGATCTGGGTGAAATCGTCTTTCCCGATGGCCTTCTGAGCCACAGAGAATGTGCAGTGAGCGCTGCCCACCACCGACAGATCACCACTGACGGACACACACACAATACATTCATCACTATATACAGCTGAAGTCACAATGACTCGCCCTCCTGTTTGTTTTCTTTTTTAAATATTTCCCGAACGATGTTTCACGGAGCAAGACATTTTTCACAGTATTTCCTATAATATTTTTTCTTCTGGAGAAAGTCTTATTTGTTTTATTTTGGCTTTTTAATTTTTTTTTAAAAACATTTTAAGGTCAATATTTTTAGCTGATTTAAGCAATATTTTTTTGGATTTTCTACAGAACAAACCACTGTTATACAATGAATTGCCTGATTAACCTAATTAACCTAATTAAGGCTAAATTGCACAATCAAGAATGCATGATTACTTGGTGTCAAGAGGTTGCAATCAAAAAATGTAATTATAATAGAGGTCAATGGGGCAAAAACTGCCCCTAACATAATGAAAGGGGAGTCAGTTTGAACAGTACACAAGAGTTAAACCTGTTGTAGGAAACTCCAACACAATACTATTTGGAACACTTTAAAATACGTTTTTACGTAAATAATAAGTGGCTCAGCAAGAAGGTCTCTGGTTGAAGTGATTGGACCAGCTAGCATTTCTCTGTGGAGTTTGCATGTTCTCCCAGTGTTGGCATGGGTTTCCTCCGGGTGCTTTGGTTTCCCCCACAGTCCAAACACATGCACTATAGGTGAACTGAATAAACTAAATTGGCCATAATGAATGTGAGAGTGTATGGGTGTTTCCCAGTACTGGGTTGCAGCTGGAAGGGCATCCGCTGTGTAAAACATATGCTTGATAGGTTCATTCCACTATGGCGACCCCTGATGAATAAAGGGACTAAGCCGGAAAGGAAAATGAATGACTGAATAAGTTTACCTGGCCAACAGGGTGTTCAGGTAGTCTGGAGTGGTTGGGTCGGGACTGAGAGGTGGTGATGTCACAAAAGAGGCAGCTTTCGCCCAGTTCTTACTCCAATAATGAGTTCCATCAGTTCCCAAACTGGCCGTGATTGGCTCTCCAAACACCACGTTACCTGGAAATAAACAGTTTTAATCTCATTATGTAGCTCGTTTCCGGTTTCAAGGACACAGAACACACAAAAAAGATCACCTACACTGCTATAAATACCTTTTTTACTTAGATTTTGTGTCTCGTTTCTAGTCCAAATATCTATAAATTTGTAAATCAAGAAGCATTTACCAGACAAGCAAAACATACTGTCGTGTTTTGAGAAATAATATGTCAAAATCAAGCAAAACAAGCATAATCTTATGTCAAAAGGAAAAGCAAGATTATTTCACGGACCATATTGGCAGATTATTTTTGCTAGTTTTAAGAAAAAAACTCTTAAAGCTTAATTTTTGACGCATTACTTCATAAGTAAAGACAATTCTGTTTGGATTGTCTATAACCTGCTCCTTGATTTAATAACTTTTAGATATTAGGAGTAGAAACAAGATGAAAAATCTAAGTAAGAAAAGCATTTTTGCAGTGTATTATTATTATTTCTACTGGCAAGAATACAGTCAGGGAGTCTTGTCAACTGAACACATCTGCTCAATAGTAAACGTTATGTGGAAAATAAACACATAAGCAGCTCATTATACAACAGTGTCTGGGGATCAATCATCTATTATTGCAGGAACATCTGGATAACACTGCTAACTGTGTTGAAGAGTTCTCTAGAGGAGATGCAGAGCTGCTGGATTCTGCTTTGTATCTATGGGAACGACAGATTCAAAGATACGTTTCCTTATTGGCTTCAGTGGTTGCAGGAAGAAGATTTACATTGAAACACGACTATTTTTGTAAAAGTAAAACTTAACCTAATGGTTAAAAATATATATATTTTAACTGGAATTAAATTGAAACAATTCACAATAAATGAATTTTTACTAAAAAAAAGTTTTTGTAAAACTATAAGACTACATCTATTAGTCAAAAAACATTTTCTTTGACTGAAATAACATTTTTAAAAAATCACAATAAATGTATTTTTAGTACAAACTGAAATTTAGTGAAACTAAAACTACTGACCAAGAAACATTTTCATCAATTGAAATAAAATAAATAAATGAAAAGCTAAAACTAAATTAAAAAGCAAACTGAAATAATATAATTTAAATCTATCTCAATAAAATACAGGAATTCACAATAAATAAATAAATAAAAAAATACTTAAATTAAATAAGTAGCAAAATAAATTAATACATTTTACTCAAACTAAAACTTTATAAAATTAAGACTAAAACTATTGGCCAAGAAACATTTTCGTACATTTTTCACTATAAATAAATAAAAATAAAAATAAACAATACTAAAACTTAACTGAAAAAAACGAACAAAAAATAAAATAATAATTGGAAATGAATTTTTAGTCAAACTAAAATATTGAAAAAAAAGCTATTGGCCAAGAAACATTTGGATTAAATATAATAAAATATTTCTGTTTTTAAATCTTTAAAACTTTCTAAAACTAAAGCTTTTGGTCAAGAAACAGTAAAGGACAAATTCAGCTTGTAGTTGATGTAGTTGATGTCAAACAAATATATTAATGAAGCTGTTATAAATATCATGACATTTATAATGGCTAATAATGGCTAACCATCTGCTAAATTTCTATGTTTGTGACTTCACAACAGAACAACAACATAAAGTACTATGACAATGATCACCTCAGGTACTGATTATGGGCTTTATTCAGTGTTAAATGCTACATATGTGAATATAACAGAACAACAGAATAAACTACCATGACAACGATCACCTCAGGTACTGATAATGGGCTTTATTCAGTGTTACATGCTATTAATGTGAGTTTAAATACCATCTCACATTACTTTTATTGTCATACCTCTAAAAGCAATGTCAGATCATCAAAATAAAATAACTGGCTGACGGCTTGAAAATGAAAGATAGTTCTGTGACTCAATGCAAACCAACAACATCAGCCACTCAGTACCTATTAATAATCTTAAAGAGGTTTAATATATATTAATTAGATCAAAAGCCTCTGCTATTATCTTGGGAGTGCAGTGGCTAATATTTAAATGCTTCTGTCGCATCGTGTTTGGTGCAGACAGACAAAGTCGCTTGTTGTTCGGACACAGAATAAGATTATCACTTAGAGTGACTATGGCTTTGTTTAAATCCTTAGACCTATCTATGAACCATTTGAACGCTGGTACTTAGCAAACGCCACTAACAAAATACATCTGCGACCTTTAAAAGCCTCCAGAGGATGCAGCGCTGCAGAACTAGCTTACAGTATAAATCTCCAGTGACAGGGCAGTCAGAAAGATTAAAGCGGTGTGGTCCGTACCCATTGCTCTGAAGACAGTGATCAACCACCCAATTTAGCACAACAGATAACACTTTCGGAAATGCCCTCAACCATTTCAGAGACCCAAAACAGCCATAAATATGAACTGCAGTTTATTTTCAGCGATGAAGTAAATTAAATAAAGATTGGAGTTATAGGTCACAGGGTGAAATGAATTATTTCGAATGAGACGAAGGAGAGGAGTACACTCAAAAAGTGCTGCTTGCTCAAACTACTTATGTAAAACAAGCTGAAACAACACAATTCTTGAGAGTTTTGGGGGATAACTTAATTGTTTTATGTCCAATCCGCTTAAACTTAAGTTAACTTAATCAGTTTATGCTGGGATAGCATGAATGAATTGTATGGAACCCTACATTGTTTACAGTACAGTTAATTTCTCAGAATTTATCATTGCTGGCTGACATCTTTAGTGCTTTCTAGATTAAATCCAGCTATCTTTACGACACCTTTAGTGAGATTAATGAATTAGCTAGCGCATTCATTTGATCTTCCTTATAAGAACTGAAAATACTTCAATTTTGGAGACCTCAAGTACAGCAGAGTTAATATCAAGGGCTTTTGCACAGACAGGAACTAGAAGGCAGATCCCCGGGGAACTAAATTTTGGTCACTGATCCATGACTAGGTGCTCTGAACTGTTGTAACCCTTAAAAAAAAGTAATTCAAAAGTACCGAAATACTTAAGTACACTTAAGTAATGTAGAAGTACCTAATTCAGATATTACCCAGCAAGCATCTTTTGTTTTTACAATATGTCTAATAGACGTCTAAACATAGTCATCTTGACTAAAACAGGGCTAATTGTTTTTGCGGTCAAGTTTCAAAATAGTTCAGCTTTTGCCACTGTGTGGATTAATACTGAATGTGCGTCGTGGTTAAGAATAGAGAAATAGGCTGGGGTGAAACTGCACTGCTTTAATGCACTTCTGCATTGGACTCACACATATACTCTACACCAGTAGTGGGCAAACTTTTTAGACCAGAGGGTCACATCAAGTTTTGCAAACCGAGCGAAGGGTCACATGTCAAATCCTTCAAAAAATAATTTTTATTTATAGTGGCAGCATGCATGGAATATGCGATATCGGACAGAAACATGCCACATTAACACAAAACAGATTATTATTATTACTATTATTATTATACTAATACTACTACTACTACTACTACTAATAATAATAATAATAATAATAATAATAATTTTTATTATTATACTAATAATAATTATTATGATAATATTACTAATAATACTAATAATAATAATACTAATAATAACAACACTATAAAGTTCAGCTTTCCATCAAGCATTTTTTTATGTGTTAATCCAAAATGTGCATAAAAATAGGCGGCTGGAAAAATAGCTAATGTCTTCATCATCATGGTCAGGGTGCTACGTTTGTAATCTGTCGAATAAATTTAAATTCAAATTCAATTTAACCTGGCATGAGAGAGAAGATATTGTCGAATAAAGTTGTATTTACAGTTTTCTGTCACACAAAAGAGCTCTTGGAGATTCTTAAGATTCCAGTTGAAAAATTAAAGCCACTTTGACATTTCAAGGCCCTTGCTGTTTAATGAGAACGAGGAAGCTATTTCATCTCGACACTTCTTAATTTGTTTTCTGAAGATGAATGGAGGGATTGGAATGACATGAGAGTGAGTAATTATTGACAGATTTGTCATTTTTGGGTGAACTAACCCTTTAAGTACATGTCATGTTGTGTACCTTTTTTCCTGGCCTGTGAGATGATGTCTGCCGCACTCTTGCTCATCACGCGGGTCACATAGAGAGGACAGTTGGTTTGACTGGCAATAGTGACAGCTCGAAACACTGCTTCAGCCTCCAGCTACACACACACACACACACACACACACACACACACATACAGACACACATACAGACACAAACATTTCAAGGCATAAAAGAGATTTTGATATCAGTAATGACCCGTTTAAAGTCAGTTTGAAATGTTTATTTTAACAATGGCTTTTCTTTAGGAGAACAATTCATCAGTGCAAGTTAATCCAATAAAAAAATTGCAGTAGCTTTGGTAATCTTTATTAAAATCTGAGCATTTGTGCCTGCGTTTGGATTGTCTCCTTCTCTGATGATGTCAGTTTGACACTTCAGCCACAGTACTAGTAAGGTGTACCTAATAAAGTGGCCGGTGAGTGTGAATGATCAACTACATTTATTGATATATTTAATTCAGGTCCCACTTCAAACAGAGCTTTAAAAAAACGATAATAATTTTGTACATAAAGCCGCACTGACATGGAATAATTTGCTAAACATGCTATAGCTGACCACGCTTCTGTCCCTAAATGAGTATCAAATCATGTGTTCACTTAAGAACTGTTTCTGTGATGTATAAATGGGTTTAATGTAAACCTATATGTTTACAGTATTTCTTTTTGTTCGCCAGATCACTCTTACAAAGACATTTGAATCTCAGTGAGTTTTTACCTGGTAAATAAATAAAGAAATGAAAACATGTCAGCTTTGGCTTACACATGAACCTCAGTGTTTCTACAGTAGCGCATTCAGTCATGTGAAAAGAAATTGGACACCTTATGAAATCAAAAACCATGAAATTCAATAGGATGTACTAACTTTTGCACATGACTGTATATGGTTTACAAACACACACTGTTGATTTAATTTACTAAAATACCATATACATCTAGTTTTCCTCTCTACTCTCATGACTGACCTCAAGAAAACCAGATGAGGAACGTCAAATTAAATCTACAGGGGAGGTCATATTCTGTCAAAATAAACTGTAATTGAATTATATTATCATGAGTTCAATGTCTTATATTAAAGACTGGAAAACAAATGTATTACTGTGAACTGCAGTGATGTTCATGTGAAGTGATGCAGCTTTGTGTTTGTGTTGACTGACCTCCTCAGGGCGGCTGAGGACGTGTCCCTCGGGTCCAGTGATGCCCATCTCCAGCATACGGGCCTGCTCCTGAAAACACACACATAACACATTAATGGATGTCGCACACCAGATGACAGCACAAGACAGAGTGCACATGACAGTTGGAAGTATTGCGCACCAGATGCACATATTCGCATGTTATTTAAAATGAAACTATTCAGATGGCGCTCTGTGGCACGGCAGAAATATGAACAGTGTCCGGAGTCGTTGGTGGGCACTGCATACCCTGATATAAATCTATGTTTCATTCATTCATTTTCTTGTCGTCTTAGTCTCTTTATTAATCCGAGGTCGCCACAGCGGAATGAACCGCCAACTTATGCAGCACATTTTTACGCAGCGGATGCCCTTCCAGCCGCAACCCATCTCTGGGAAACATCCACACACACACACACTCATACACTACGGACAATTTAGCATACGCAGGGAGAACATGCAAACTCCACATAGAAAAGCCAACTAACCCAGCCGAGGCTCGAACCAGTGACCTTCTTGCTGTGAGGTGACAGCACTACCTACTGCGCCACTGCATCACCCAGTGTAATAAAGTGAATCTTGATATTCATAAAGTGCACAAACCTCAGCAATTATTTCTCCATTTTCTGCGTGGACCTGAGCAATTCCTCCATGCTCTCCAAGGAAGGTGAAGACCTCATACAGCTGTTTAAAAACACAGAGAAAAAAAAATATATATATATATTGTTCATGTATATATATTGTTATATATATGTATATATATTGTTCATATATATATATATATATATATATATATATATATATATATATATATATATATATATATATATATATAAATAAATTGTATGGTTTTAAGTGGGGAAAATGTGTGAATTGTATAGTTTGTGTTTTGCTGCCTTCATAATTTCTAGTTTTTGCATTAAAGTGAATCAGGGTTTCTGCAGGTTTCATTAAAGGGCACCTATAAAACAAAATCACTTTTACAATCAAAGTTGTGTGGAAGCAGTGTGTGAATATAACCAGCTTCCAATGGTAAAATGTATTAATTAAATGTTTTTATAATCAGGCTTGATAGAAACAGTCTGCAGAAACACTTTGATTGACATTCTTCCTTTATACGTGTCATCAGAGGTGGAAAGCCCCGCCCACTAGTGACCATCTCTCCCTCATTAGCATAGGACGTTAGTCTTGTTTTGAATCTGCCACCTTGCTGACACACAGGCATTTGTAGTTCCGCCCTCTTCTGTAAAGAGCACAATCTATTTTGAATTTAAAGGGACAGTCACCAAATTAGCTAAATTAGGATCAAAGCCTAAAAGGGTTATAAAACACTATCTGTGAGGTTTTTTGAGCTGAAACTTCACATACATCACCATTTAAGTCAAAATATACTAGTAATCAAATAAACATATTAGTTTTACACAGGGAGCCCAAATGTAGCCTTGTTTTAGTCAAGCTGTTTATGTTCAGACATCTGTTATGCAATTCCGAGTGTGCTTCCCACAGGTGAGTGAGTTTGACAAACCACCTTTAGAAAACACACTCGACAGTAGGGTTGGGTATCGTTTGGGTTTTTTTCGATACCGGTGCCTAATCGATACTTTTAAAACGATACCGGTGCCAAAATGGTGCCTGAATCGATACTTTTTAGCCACAAAATGATGGTGGATGACTCTTCAATACTATTTTTTATTTGACAAAATATTTTTTTAAATAATTTTATTAGAACAACATAATTACAGTTTAAAGTAAACCTCAATTCATATTGTATTACATTAATACATTTCCTTTGATCATTTGTTGATTAGCATGAATTTAAGATTTGCATTATGAAATTACATTAGCTTACAATTAACCTGTGGGGGGCGGGCAGGGGCACTTTTAGGAGCACATTTTAACATAAATATCACAAAATACTTAACATTATTGGAATTAATTTGTTTTCATGCATCACTCTGCAGTCTTCATAAACAAAATAATTAAATAACTTCAACTCAAAATAATCTTCCTTGTTTATTTATTTGACAAGTAACGTTATACTGCTGTAGGAAACACATTTATAACATTCGAGTACATCAAGGCACATTGCTGCAACTGTAGGTCTGTTAAAGTTTACAGTTGAAGTCAATTTATTTTGCCCTCCCATTCATTCACAATAATGTTTCTGAACATTTTTACACTGTTTCCTAAAAAAACTATTATTCTGGAGTCATAATAAGTCGTATTTCTTATTGTTTATTTCGTGCATTGATAATGACCAAAACACATTGAATGACAGTAAAAAGTAGCAATTTTACCCAATAAATGCGTTAATAATATCAACTGATTTATATATATAGTCATTCAAATGAACTTCAAACGATTAAAAACTGCAGCAAACATTTATTTAGGCCCGAACTACAAAACCAAATGTAAAACAATTTTGTAAAACATGTAAAACAACACGCTCTGCTCATGCACTGCTTTCGCTTGCGGTGTGAAACAGGCGTAACGTTCTTGCCGCAGCACCGAAATTAGGCACCGAAATTCATACGCTGATTTAATACCAGTACGTACCGGTTACCTAGTTTCGGTACCCAACCCTTCTCTACCAGTGTGCCAGTTTTTGCACATTTGCACAAGACACTTTCTTACAGTCACTCCATCTCTCTAAAATAAATAAATAATTAAATAAATAAATAAATTGTACATTTGTGAAGTGAGCGTCACACAGGTGAGTGGGCTTGATAAACCACCTGTAAAAAAAACTCTCTATAAAAACACTCCCCTCCTTATTCTGTGAGCACTAACAGTTTCTTCAGATAATTAGCACTTCCTGTGTTTCTTCGTATTGAATCGCTGAATACCTCCTCCATTGTAAGTTGCTTTGGACTAAAGAGTCTGCACAATGACTAAATGTTAATCTGTTAGACATCTATTGGACTTCTTTTAAACAGTCCATTCTCTTACCGGCACTGTGACAGAATGTGTGTATTCACCACAGCATTAATAAAAGAAATGAAATGAATGAATAAATAAAAACATTTCTTCATCTCACCTCGGTGTTGCTCATCTGATAGAGGTCTTTAAAAGCCATGTAGACCTGAAACGAGTTCACTCCTGTATGGACAGAAAGAATAAATCAGAAAATTTTTTTTAAAAATTTAAAAAGCTCTGCCAAGTCAACAAGACAAATTTACAATCATTCATTCATTTATTCGTTAATTTTTTTTGCTTAGTTCCTTTATTAATCTGGAGTCGCCACAGTGTAATGAACTGCCAACTTATCCAGCGTATGTTTTACGCAACGGATGCTCTTCCAGCTGCAACCCAGTCACGGGCGGACTGGCCATCTGGCCGGCCACGTCGTTTCTCACTGGGCCGACATACTTTTTGGGCCAGGTTGATCGTCTTCTTATAATCTGATCGGTCCATAAAATGCCTAGCAGCCTATCGTTTTTTTCTCCCTAATTAATTGACGATACTGTGATCTGTGACGCTCTGAAAACACTGTGACACTCATTTTGTGGTTGTGCAGCCTGTTTTGAAGCAAGTTACTCAAAAATAACTCAAAGATCAAGTCTTCAGTCATAAAGAAGAGAAAAAAAACACATTCCCTGTGGGACACCATACTGCTTGTTATATTTAGAAGTTCACAGGGGATTTATTTTTAGTGTGCTGAACCATCTAGAACAATACAGGAAAAAGATGTCATGTGTATGGTGGCCGAGAGAGCTTAACGTGCCGGGGTGCGTTTCCCAAAACCATCTTTAGCCAACTAAGGTCGCAAGTTCTGTCGTTACAAACATAGTTTGTTGATTTGGCATTTCCCAAATCCATCGTTCCAATGAACATTCGCAAAAAGCATCGCAAACTTGTGCACTTGTAATTACACTTCTAGAGCTGTAGTTAGAAACATAGTTCCTGGCTGTGTTCTATTCCCAGTTATCCCCCCTATGCCACATTCATTTAGAATGTTCCAACATTTAAACCTAAAAGATTAAAAATAAAAAAGCATTAAGGTCATCTCTCTTTGGTGTAATTTGCTTTCAAAGTAACTTTACAGTTTAGTTTAAGCGATCTTCACGTTTATAATTGCGCTCCCTTCGCAGTGCACTTTGAAAACATTGATGTCATTCTGAACACAGCCTCATGATGAAAGCTATAGGTGACCTATTATTTAAAAGTGGAATTTGTTACGTCTTCAAAGCTTGTGAAAACAAAAAACACGGCATGCGTTAATGCTTTTAATTTATAGTAGCTTATTTATTAAGTATCTGTGCTGTCTATGACATAGGCCTGCTGGTTAGAACATTTCTGCAGTGGTTTGCATGTGTTAAATTGTAAAAGTAGACTTTTCAAAAAAATAAATAAACAATATCCTACATAATAATAATAATCATTTTCATCATTAATATTATTAATATTATTATTAGTTACATAACATAACATACATAACAATATGTATATATGTAAATATTAAATATTAAATTTAATTTTTTATAAATAGCCTAATTATTTATTTATTTATTTCTATGATTTATGTATGCTATTAGAATACGTGTTAGCTTTTGTAAGTGATTTTATGTTTTAGAATAAAATCTGAAATGCTCTAAACAATATTAGTAAAGGAAACACTGGCCCTATATGTGCCGTTTACATATATTTCAGTAATTATGGAAAGCAAGTGCATATTTTTACCAAAACTAATATTGGATTTTATTTTAAATGCGTGTTTGTGTAAAACAGTAAATTTTCCGCAAAGAAATGATGGGCTCTTCTCTAAAGAATCAGTTACTCCGGCCTGTTTAGAGCATCATTATGGGCGTCTTTCGTTATAGCTAACATGGTTCAAGCGATGGATCTGCGACAGAGAAACTACGAGTTTCGGGAAACACTCGTCACTACATCACAATCGTACATCGTACTATGATAGTTCCGCCGTGAGTTATGTCGTTGTTTGGGAAACGCACCCCAGAGCAATAATCAGTGCACAATAAACAAATCCCAACCAGTCCATCACGTTTTAGGGACCCCTTGAAACATTTACGTTGTTTTCCGCGTGCTTTCTGCATGTTTTGATAGAAATTGCAGCGCATTTTCTTAAGGTGTTTGCGTTGTGAAGATTTGCAACACTTATGCTGTCAATCCAGCTTGATCTCAAAGGAAACGTAATCATTTTACCCTTAACGTTGACCTGTCTTCCCCTGAAATGTGATGTTTATGTATGGTCGGGAGGGGGGGGTCCAATTTCACTACATGACAGTGTATTAGACTACATGGAAGTGTATTTGCCTTTGATTGATTGATTGATTGATTGATTGATTGATTGATTGATTGATTGATTGATTGATTAGTGGATAATTCGTAACGTCATTAGCAAATCGTACTAAACTGTATGAATGAGATCAAACGAATTCATACGAATTAGCCATTACATCAAAATGTTACGAATTGCCGTGAGATTGTTTTGGTCAAATCGATGCTCTATTCCTAATTTGCTGGTGTTTTTTGTAACTGCATGTGTTTTCCTAAATTGCAGCATGTTAGGCTCTCTCCGCCAATGTACATTTGGATGCTTAAAGTGCAGTAAACGCATGGTAAACATAAACAGTAATATATTTCTGACCTTTCTCCTTGATGAGGGTCTCTACCTCCTGCTTGACGCTGTCGTTCCAGTGGGTGATGTCCACATGCAGAGAGTAATCGCAGCAGGCTTTCTCATCCGCCCATTTACTCCAGCGATCGAACGCTTCCAGCAGACTGCAGCCCGGCTCCGGGATCACATGATCCACTGGAGAACACACACACGTACTGATGTTAGCTTTTTAGCATTAGCATTCCCATCCATTCATTAATTAATTTTTCTTCAGCTTAGTCCCTTATTTCTCAGGGGTCGCCACAGTAGAATGAACTACCAACTATTCTGGCATATGTTTTACACAGCGGATGCTACAGCCGCAACCCAGTACTGGGAAACCCATACACTCTCAGATTCAGACACACACTCATACAGTACGGCCAATTTAGTTTATTCAGTTCAGCTTTAGCGCATGTATTTGGACTATAGGGGAAACCGGAGCACCAGGAGAAAGCCCACGGCAACATGAAGGGAACATGCAAACCCCACACTGAAAAGCCAACTGGCCCAGCCAGGACTCGAACCAGTGACCTTCTTGCTGTTAGCCGAAAGTGCTAACCCCTGAGCCACCATGCCGCAGCAACATCAAAACAAATAATACAAATTTACCAGGAGAGCTAGTCTTTTCCCTGCTGAAAAATCTAGCTTAAACCAGCCTAGGCTGGTTGGCTGGTTTTAGCTGGTCGACCAGGCTGGTTTTAGAGGGGTTTTGGCCACTTCCAGGCTGGTTTCCAGCCATTTCCAGCCTGGTCTTAGCTGGTCAGGCTGGGAGATGACCAGCTAAAACCAGCTTGACCAGCCTAGCCAAGCTGGGAGTCCAGCCAAAACCAGCTATGTCCAGCTTAAACCAGGCTGGTCAAGCTGGTTTTAGCTGGATTAAGCTGGTCATTTTTCAGCCTGACCAGCTAAGACCAGGCTGTAAATGGCTGAAAACCAGCCTGGAAATGGCCAACACCCCTCTAAAACCAGGCTGGTCAACCAACTAAAACCAGCCAACCAGCCTAGGCTGGTTTAAGCTGGATTTTTCAGCAGGAACTAGCTTCAGTTTGAATTTGTTCACCATAAACGAAGGTCTTCTTATTGCAGACTTCAAACTACAATGCAGCAAATGTATCTCGTATTAAAGCAAACCTCTCCAAGCCATATTAAGTATAGAACCTCTGTATATTCACTGCTTCTTCATTGTCTCTCTTTTATCTGCGCGTCGAATCTAGCTCACGTTTCCTCTGGGAACAAAAGAGATTCTTACAGCTGGTCTTTCACTCTAAAATTAATCGCTGCTAACAGTTCCTGGTAAACACAGGGTTTAGGCCAGTCTTAGAAAGCAGCTGCTGTCAGGTTTTCTTCATGCAGGAAACCAGCAGTTGTTGCCAACGTGAATCTCTTTTGTTAACACACACACTCACTTTCCCATGTATGTGAAGCTTCTAGTGCAACCTTCTGAGTCCATTAAAAGGGTCCTATTTCAGAATGGTGGTTTTATTTCCAATATTTTTATTGCATTTTTTCCAGATATTATACAAACTTACAAATGTATATGAAAAATAGAAGTCCTATCAGCAAAGAGATGACATGAAATACATAGCAATAAAAACAAGAAATCTGTAGAACTCTTAAAACAACCTTACATTTTTCTACCCCCTTCTATGCACCATCCCTCCCATCTCCCACCGCTCCCTATTTTCTGAGGCCTTCAATAAGTATGTAACGGTGAATCAAGACACTGATAAATAAATAATTAACATATAAACAAATTAATAATAACATTAGAAAAAAAATTATAAATAAAATAAATAAAAATAAATATATGGGTAAATACAAAGGATGAAAATGTAAAATAAAAACTAGAAGTCTCTCTTTCTCCCTTTCGAAATTCTAGTCAGCAGTTCCTGAAATGTTAAGGTTCTCAATGACTGACAGCATGGGACTCCATGTTTTGTTAAAGGAGTTCAGTGATCCTTTAAAACAATGTCTCAGTTTCTCAAGAATGGTGGTTTTAAAGTGCTTAATCATTACATATACAGTTGACGTCAGAATTATTAGCCCCCTTCGATTTTTTTTCTTCTTTTTTTTAAATATTTCCCAAATGATGTTTAACAGAGCAAGGAAATTTTCACAGTATGTCTGATAATATTTTTTCTTCTGGAGAAAGTCTTATTTGTTTTATTTCGACTAGAATAAAAGCAGCTTTTAATTTTTTAAACACCATTTTAGGGACAAACTTATTAGCCCCTTTAAGCTTCAGTCTAGATGCACAAATGAACAGCATAATCACAGTAAACTACTTTATTCTGAGCCACTTCTTTTGACGCTTTCACTTTTTCGCACAGAAAACGTTAGTTCTGCTTTAAATCTGCCACTATGCTGACACACAGGCATTTGTAGCCCTGCCCTCTTTTGAAAAGAGCACAATCTCATTTGAATTTAAGTGAAGTTTAATTTACTAAACTCATTTCGAGAGGAGTACGTGCTCATGATTAAACCAGCTGGCTCATATTAGCTAATCACGATTCTCCAATCAAGCATCCCTAGTTCCTATATATATCTCCTCCTTTTCCACTTACAACTATCTTCGTCTTCAAGAATCCCCCCTCCTCCCCCTTCTTCCACCTTTATCCAAAATAGGTGGCTCGGCGGCCCAGCAACCAGCAGGAATAGCATTAGCTCTGGCTCCCTACTTGAGCTTCTGGTATCTCTGCGTGGCGCTAGCACGTTTCCCCCGCAGGGGTTTCAGTTCTCTCCCAAAGCCTAATAATAAAAAAATAAAAATAATAAATTGCTCTGCATCATAGACCTCTTAAACCTAAGTCTCTTTTACTAGTCGTCTCGCTCTCAAGAAGTTCACCTTGGCCTTAGCTGCGGGGGAGTTTTGAGATCACCCTGAGTTCAATCTCCACTCGCCCCACAAAGGGAGGGAGCCCTGGACTCGAGGAATGCCTTGAGCTCAGGGCTCTCTCCCGGGACAGCATGCCAAACGAGCTTTCGTAAGTCATGAGCTAAGTGTGAACTCTTGAAAGCGAATTTAAAATCCCCTTTAAAAGTAAAAAGTGCAGATTTAAAAACATTAAAAAGTATGGAAAAGCTACTCAATTGCAGTATTGTGAGTAGATGTAATTTGTGACTTTCCACCCTTGCTTACCGATCATGGTGGTTCCTCCAGCCAGAGCAGCCTTGGTGCCCTGGGTGAAGTCATCAGCGGTGGTTGTACCCCTGAAGGGCATCTGTAGGTGGGTGTGGATGTCAATTCCTCCAGGGATCACCATCTTCCCATTGGCTTCAATGGTCTTCACTCCTCCAGGTACGATCAGGTTGTCACCAATCTGCCTTAAAGTTGACAAAAAAAGCAATTTGGTATTTTTTATTTATCACACTATCATTTAAAGGTGGGTGGCACGGTGGCTCAGTAGTTAGCGCTTTTGCCTCGCATTAAGAAGGTCAATAGTTCGAGTCCGCACCATACCTGCCAACACACCCGTTTTTCCCGGAAGTCTCTCCCATATTGTTCTGTCTCCCAGAAAACTCCCGGAATTCCCATACACCCCCCCTCCCTCAGTCCCCATACGCACCAAACCCATTGCGTAACCATCTGCATACCCGCTCATCACTTCGCTTGCACCCTCATTAATATTCATGACCATTCCAAATAAGGTCAATAAAGACATACTGAGTCTAGGGATATATTCTGTAGGTAATAAATGAGCATATAAAACCACTTCTGTAAACATTTTAAACTTCCCTAAGCTACAAACCTACTATGTAGACAGCAGAACAATCAATGCACTACATGACACATTTGCCTAACATTTACCTAATTCAAGGGCAAGGTGAGAGGGAGTTTTTTTCGCCTCCCCCAAATGTATCTTTTTTCCTTTTTCTAAATGCTACCTCCCGTTGACTTGTCTTTCCCTGGAATGTGATGTTTGTGTATGGTCGGAGGGGTCCAATTTCACTACATGACGGTGTATTTGACTGCATGGAAGTGTATGTGACAAATAAAAGCCTTTGATTGATTGATTTAAACATTTAAATTGCTGAAGCTAAACACTAGTATTGGTGACATAGTGGCTCAGTGGTTAGCACTGCCACCTCACAGCAAGAAGTATGCTGATTCAAGTGCCGGCTGAGTCAGTTGGCATTTATGTGTGGAGTTTGCATGTTCTCCCCATGATGGCGTGGGTTTCCTCTGGGTGCTCCGGTTTCTCCCACAGTCCAAACAGGTGAATTGAATACACTAAATTGGCTGTAGTGTATGTGTGTGAATGAGAGTGGATTTTTCCCAGTACTGGGTTGCAGCTGGAAGGGCATCCGCTGTCTAAAACATATGCTGGAAGAGTTCATTCCGCTGTGGCGATCCCTGATTATTAAAGGGACTAAGCTGAAAGAAAATCATTGAAAAGATGAATACTAGTATCTTCCAGAAAAGCGAGTGAAAGTAATATACTATCATCATGGCAAAGACAAAAGAAGCTAGTTATTAAAATGATTAAATTTGAAACATTTAAAATCTTCTCTCGGTTAAACAGCACTTGGGATGTATACAAAAGTTAATTACATTTCTGTCACGATTACCAGCGATCGTATTCCATTAGATCTGATTAGTTCTCCCTCACCATAACCTTGGACTACAATTCCGCCATTGTTGGACTACATATTCATACATGCACTCCGGTCACACTCACACATGCTTCCTCATCTAGACTGATTACCTGCACCACCTGAGGATTGTCAGAGATTGATTGCACACTCTATTTAGAGCCACACACTCACCCATTCAGTTTGCAGAGTCTTGTTCGCTGTATAGTGACATTACAAAGCGTATCTCTTGTCTTGTTTGCCTGTGTTTAGACCTTAGCCTTGTTAACCATTTGTCCTAGTCTGCCGCCTGCCTCACGACCTCTCGCCTGTTTTCTGATTACGATTCTGGACTGCCTCTAAACACCGGTTTTCACCCGTATAGACCATTGCTTGCCTGACTTTGAATAAACCTGCGTGTGGATCCAAACTTCTGTTGTTTGTGTCACTCCCCTTCATAACACTTTCACAGGAGGGCTAATCATTTTACCATCAACTCTAAACAATCGAAAAGCAGCACAGTGAAACTGTTTGAAATTCCTTTGAAAGGGATAATCCATGCTTTACACCCTCGTGGCATGCAAAATATGATTTTCTTTGTTCAGATGAACACAAACAATGATTGTAAGAAAGCACGAAATGCTCTACATTGAGGCAGGCAATTTTACATGACATCTGTGTAGTTTCCAACACACTTAAACAGTGGCTCATACAAGCCAAATGATAAATCATGATATCCCTGTGTTTATCCCTGTGGTTAAGTGTTTCTAACGGTGAAGTGCATTATCAGTGCATTGTGCATGAGATAAACTAATGCAGATAATCTATATGAGTCGAACAGGAAGAGGAGTGACCATCCATTAAGCAGAGCCTACATATCGGAAAACCTCCAGAAGAAGATGAACTTTAATGTGTTTGTGTGTGTGTGTGTGTGTGTGTGTGTGTGTGAGAGAACTGGTTTTGGTGGTTTATGGTAGAGGTCTGCATTCCCGCGGGACCGGACCAGATTTCTGCGGCGCGGGACAAATTTCCAAAAAAGAGCGGGAGCAGTCGGTAACGGGTTTCATTTTGGACGGGAGCGGGCCGTCTAGCAATATTGCTCCCGACTCCCGAGCGAGCACGCGTATGTATGTGTGTAAATGAAATAGCGCGATGCTGTGTTTAGCTTGTTTGTTGCTGTGTGTGTATGTGTATGTGTGCGCACGCGCGAATGAGAGGTGTGTGTGTGTGCGCGCGCGAATGAGAGAGAGAGAGCTTTGCCTGTGTGAGTGCTTGGTGCTTATGTGTGCGTGTGTGTGTGTGCGTGTGTGTGTGTGCGTGTGTATGTGTGTTTGTGTTAGTCCGCGCGCACGAATGAGAGAGAGCTTTGTGTGTGTGTGCTTGGTGCTGTGTGTGTGTGTTTATATACAGACAGCTTGTTATAGGCTGTCTGGAAACTGTATAGCTGGGTGGTTTTCAGTTTTGTTCTCCCCCCCGCTCTTTAGCGAGATCGGGCGCGCCGGGTAGAAAACGGGGCGGGTCGGGACAACAAATGCTGAACGTAAGCGGGAGCGGTCTGGTTCAGGGTAAAATCTGCCGGGTACAGGCTGGAGCGGGATTCAAAATTTAGTCCCGCGCAGGTCTCTAGTTTATGGGTACAACCTAGTTGTACTCTATAACTGTGGTTTATAAGGACATGCCTGATGTACTCGTAATTCAAAACGCTTCAAAACCCCTGTAGCAATACTTCTCTCCGATCATCTCCATATGCGGAAAATTCGGATCCGTGGAAATATTTGAACTCCTGCGACTAGACCGTATGCGACCGGTTGACCGGATGTGATGTTTTCCAGAGTTGTACAAGCAGGTCCGTGCGTGCGAGATGAGAAATAGGAGTTTATATGGTTATTTTTTGAATTATAAAAAGTGTATATTAATAAATTTAAAATAAAATTCTTTTCATAAATATAAGTAAGAAAGTAATAAAAATATACATTTTTAATGTTGTCTCCACATTCCCTTCAATATTTTAGCGGTCTATGAGTTTCTAGCATTCATTCATTCATTAAACCATGCAAAGGCACACAGAATAAAGGCCCTTGCTCTTGCACTCCTTTATTTCAGACACTGTGAGAATCAGCTTCTCCCCCATTGTGCACGACAACACTGAAAATACTGTGCGACTGCCACAAGGGGGCGTATTCCGACAGTCGTGTCCAAACGTTGTGTGCAATGGAAAGGCGGCTTCAGTCTGGCTTCCATACAAGAGGCAAACGTGGACCATATCTGGGCCAAGTCTCAGCCAAGTTAATAACCTATAGCTGGGCCTGAACTGGGTCAAATATGTTGATGTGTCGCGACTAGAATGTTTTTATAAACCCTTGAAGCATTTCGCTTTATGGCTGTGCTTTTTCTTGAAGCGACCTGATTGATAGAATTTTTTCTTTCTTCAAAAACAATTCATATATATATCAAAAGTGGGTCAAGATAGGCCAAACTTACGGGCCCCACATATACATTTTATGGGTAGGAGAGGTTGTGGATAAAGCAAAATAATTATGTGTCTGATCCGGCCACATTCGTTACACAGGGTATTTACAGCTACTGTATATTTCTGTTCATCCGCATCTCGTCCCTTTGTGCCCCCTGGTGGCATAGTCGGAGACTGCTGTTACAGCTAAAAACATTTTCTTAATCCCTTTGTCCCGCCGTGGCATCAAATGTGGCCATTTTGAACTGTCACCCACTGTATGTGTGTGTGGTGTGTGTGTGTGAATGCAGCTTACTTGATGACTCCATCCTCCATATAGATGTCTGCGTAGAAGGACTGGTCATCGTTCACAATCCGACCACCTTTAATCAGGAGCCTCTCGCTCTGTCAAAACAAGACACACAAAGACAGAAAGAGGTCATATGAGGTTCTATTTCTATTACAAAACAACTTCTGATACTAAAAATGTCCAATTTATATTGTCCTGTACTTTCAAATTAAGTCATGGCTTCAAATTAGCTGGATGTTGCATCATGCATCGCTCTATGTGTCACATCAATTTGGGCTTAAAATCCCCAGAGTGACATTCTTCTGAATAGTCAGTTTAGAAGCAGAATGGAGTCACTTCGGTTCATTACAGTAAGTTCAAACAGGGGACATTATCACTGACCTTTATTTTGGCAGGAACCATTTTGCACCGTCACAGATTAAACTCTACAGTGCTTTTTAAAAAGTAGACTGTGCCAAAGCAGCTAAACATAGGTGAAGAAAAGAGGATGAATGCCATAACAATAGTTCTGAATGTTGAAACAGAACCCAGAAATGTAGAATATATCAGGTTAAACACTGCAGAACTATTAATGTGTAAGGACTTGACCACACCGAACGCATTTTTTGCATTAAAAGGCATCTTTTTTGAGTGTTTTGCTGGTGCACCTCGTGTTTTTGCCATTGCGCACTGTGCGCCCGCAGTTGAAAATTAAGTGTTATTTAAATAACACTTAAATGGAAAAATAAGCTACAACAGTCACATCTTTTTTTATTGTGCAATCAAATGAAAGCAGAGGTGGGGTTTCTGTCGAGGTGACAGCAGTGTTTGTGTTGTCAATATGACTACGGAGACTTTTAAAGATGGAAGAGTGACTAGCAGTTGCTGTTTCGAGTTATCCAGAGCTCTATGACTTCACAAATCTTAAATACTTAATTGTGTAAGGCTTGATCTTCATAAATGAGTACGATCTGTTGGTGTCGTCAATCTTGCAACCTTTGTGTGTCATGTTGGAGGAAGAGGGGCCAGGTGAAAAAAGCTCCTCTCCAATCTTTTGAATTTAGAGTGCAATTCCTAGTTCAACCACTAGGTCAATCCTACATTACCTTTAAATTTAAGCATGTGAAACAGAGGCAAGCTACAGTAAGATGAGCTAGAGATCTTCACGAGTCTACTTGGACCTGAAAACCTGAGATATGAAAAGAGATTTTGAGTCCAAAATTTTCAACCCAAGCTCACTCTGAAAACGTAGCCCCGTGGACGTTTCTGGAGACCAAGATTTACGTGGTCGGTGGTATGTATGGCTGCATTTAGTTTTTTTAAGCGGGGCGGTGTGACGCCGCTCCTCTTCGCACTCGCTGGCTGATGTCTCACCTCCTCTGTGTGGAGGGCTTTCCCGCAGCAACCAGTTTGTCCGGTTAGCTAGTCATGTTAGGCTGGCGGAGCCGGCTGCATTCGACGACCGGGTTCGAGTGCAGGGAAGAGCCGTTCCAGAAATCAGGTAAGACAAAAAACAGAATCCAAAAAATAAAACGAACAAGTTCGTTACGGGGCGAGAATGTAGTGAAATCCGAAAACCGAGTCAAAATCGGACGAGGGCTTTTCTTTTTCTAGACGGCGTTTGTAAATTGTCGCTTGGGTTTGGGGAAGAAGGAGGAGAAGGGTGGCTGGGTTGGCCGCCCAGTCAATCGTTCAGTCATTCATTCAGTCAGTCAGTCAGACAGACGGCCTCCGGCGGCTTTTTACGCGAGAACAGTGCGGGTGCGAAAAAGCGCGCACAGCTGCCTTTCACGGATTCGTGAACACAAACACTGCACAAATACGTACCTCCCGGGACGTATTTCACGGTCTCCAGAAACGTCCGCGAGGCTATGTTTCCAGAATGAGCCTGGGTTGAAAACTTTGATATGTCTCAGATAGGGTTGGGTCGATAGACGATGGCAATCCAACAATGCCATCATCGATTGTGATGTTTCACATTAGACATCATACAATGCCGAATTTGTCGACATCGCCCAAGCCGAGTCCCAGACATGGTCGAGTTTGGTATTAATTCTCACGGTCTCTGGAAATTAAAGAAGTAATTTTTCCAAATGGACCCAATCATACCTTTAACGGAGTGACTATTCACAATCAACAACCCATCATGTTGGCAAAGAATATAATGAGGTTTCAGTGACCATAAAAGAGCGATTGACATTTAAGAAATTCAGTGCTTTCTTGTGTGTCGGTGTTAAGTAGGTTGAAACATTGTCCAATTAAATTCAACCCAAGCTCATTCTGGAAACGTAGCCCCGTGGACGTTTCTGGAGACCGTGAGTTACGTAGCCTGAGGTATGTATGGCTGCATTAAATTGCTTTAAGCAAATGCTACAGGACGGTGTGACGCCGCTCCTCTTCGCGCTCGCTGGCTGACAGCTTACCTCTGTGTGGAGGGCTTTCCCGCCGCAACTAGTTTGTCTGGTTAGCTCGTCCTGTACGTCGGCAGAGGGGAGACAAGGAGGGGAGCTGACCGCGACGACCGAGTTCGAGTCTACGGAAGAGCGGATCAAGAAATCAGGTAAGACAAAAACAGCATCCAACAAATAAAGTGAACGAGTTTATCACAGGGTGAGAATGTGGTGAAATCCGAAAACGCGGTCAAAATCAGACGAGGGCTTTTCTTTTTCTGGAAATCATTTGTAAATCGTTGCTTGGGTTTAGGGAAGCAAGCGGGCGGGAGTTTCTGTAAAACCGGTTGGGTTTAGGGAAGGAGGAGGGTGGGTCGGCCGATTGGCCGGTCGCCCAGTCAGTCAATCAGTAAGTCAGTCAGACAGACAGTCAGTCAGACAGACAGTCACTCGACAGCGGCTTCGGCCGGCTTTGCGCGAGAACAGCGCGGGCGCAAATCGAGATGCGAAAAAGCACAAACAAAAACTTTGCAAATATGTACCTCCCGGGACGTATTTCACGGTCTCCAGAAACGTCTGCGAGACAATGTTTTCAGAATGAGCCTGGGTTGAATAAATTAGTCTTGTGAGCGCTAGAGCTAGCAAAATAAACACTGTAACTCAACTTTAATATGAGGAACACAATAGAAAAAGCATGTCTTGTTTGAAAGACAACAGCAAAAAGTACTCATACATCATTTGGGAGCAAGAACTGTTACTGCAGGATGCTGATAAAGGAACAATCTGAATGTGTAGAAAGCGCATTCACTCAAAGGGGACGGACAATTCAACAAATGCCAGAGTCCAGTCTGAGCCTTGCACACAAACAGTGCTGTCATTTGTTATGCGTGTGTGGGGAGTGGGGGGAAGACACAGCCAAAGAACGCCGAGCCAAAGGACATTAAGGCGTGGAGCATTAGCCATGCTTGTGCAGAATAATGGGCCGCGATTGAAGAAAACCTCTCTGTATGCATCCAGAGCTGCAGCCTTGTTGCCTGGGTGACCAAAATATTTACTGTACGCTCATGAGAATTTCGTCTATTCTGCCAACATAGCAGTCAAAACACTGGAACATACCCGTTTAGATGCATAATGACCAACCACCATTACACATCCACACATCCACCCTGCCCTGTGACTGAATTATGGGTGCTGCTATAGCCAGGAGCATCAGGCTCCCCAGAGAGAACTCAGCATAAGACAGTGAGCCATGATCATCTAGTTCACATCCTAACATCCCTAAAAAATGGATCAAGTGGCCTTAATTACTACATCAGAAAATAAGCAGAATGTGCTTAGTGTGTTCATATAGTATTGCAGATCACTTCTGATGCTCTTAAGGGGAGATATGGGTAGGGTTAGGGACAGGGTTAAGGTAAGGGATGGGTCAACAGTGTAACTACCATGTACTTACATCAGACAATAGGTAGAACGTACTTATTCTGTTCATATAGTATTGCAGAACACTCTTGGTAATCTTGAGGTAAGATACAAGTATAGGTTAAGGACTGGTTTGGGGGTATGGGTAGGTTTAAGGTTGGGTTAAGGCAGGGATGTCAAACTGAATTCCTGGAGGGTCGCAGCCCTGCAGAGTTAGTTCCAATCCTGCTCCAACACACTTACCTGTAGGTTTCAAACAAGCCTGAAGGACTCAATTAGTTTAATCAGGTGTGTTTAATAAGGGTTGGAACTAAACTGTGAAGGGCTGCAGCCTTCCAGGAATTCAGTCTAACATCCCTGGGTTAAGAAATGGGTCAACAGTGTACAACTACCATGTACTTACATCAGAAAATAGGTAGAATGTACTTATTCTGTTTGAATAGTATTGCAGAACACTCTAGGTAATCTTGAAGTAGGATACAAGTATAGGTTAGGAACTGGTCTGGGGGTATCGGTAGGTTTAAGGTTGGGTTAAAGTAAGGAATGGATCAACCATGTATTTACATCAGAAAATAAGTAGAATGTACTTATTGTGTTCATATACTGTAGTATTGCAGAACACTTCTGGTGCTCTTGAGGTGGAATACGGGTAGGGTTAGGGACTGGTCTGGGGTTATCGGTAGGTTAAAGCTTTGTTAAGATAAAGGATTGGTCAACAGTGTAATTACTATGTACTTACATCAGAACATAGGTAGAATGTACTTATTGTGTTCATATAGTATTATTAAACACTTCTAGTGCTCTTGAGGGTGGGTGAGATTAGGGACAGGTCTGGAAGCATGGGTAGGTTACATTAAGGGTTGGGTTAAGGTAAGGGATTGGTCAACAGTGTAATAGCCATTTACTTACATCAGATAATAAGTGCTATGTACTTATTGTGTTTATATATTATTGCAGAACACTTCTGGTGATCTTAAGGTGGGACACTGGTGGGGTTAGAGACTGGTCTGAGGATATGGGTTGGTTAAAGGTTAAGAGATAGGTCAACAGTGTATTTAAGATGTACTTACATTAGAAAATGAGTAAAAGTTACTTAATGTGTTCATATAGTATTACAGATCACTTCTGGTGCTCCTGAGGAGGGATTCGGGTAGGGCAAGGGACCGGTCTGGAGGTATAGGTAGGTTAAAGGTTGGGTTAAAGTAAGGAATGGATCAATGGTGTAATCACCATGTATTTACGTCAGAAAAATAACTAGAATGCACGGATTGTGTTCATATAGTATTGCAGAACACTTCTGGTGCTTCTGATGTGGGATACGCACGAATGGCGCGGCGCTAATGACGCGAATTGCACGAATGGCGCGGCGCGAATGACGCGAATTGCACGAATGGCGTGGTGTGAATGGCGCGATTCGCACAAACGGCGCGATACGCCCGAATGGCGGCGCCGCAATAACCAATCAGGAGCTTGCTCTTATGGGGGCATGATTGTGACGAAGCGCCTGTTGTTGGTGTCCTGGGGGGAAATCCTCCAGCTGACACCGACAACAGCTCATCAAACTGGGGTCGGCTCAATCAAAAGCACTGCTAAAAGCCTCCATCATCCAGTTAAGTTTCTGGAGGAGTTGATGAGCTCACTGAGCTGGGTGCGCCTCTGAAAGGATCTAGTGGACTCAGGCACAGCCCTAAAGGTATCGACGCTGTTTTTGAGCCTTCATAAAACACATAAACACTGTTATTTTCTTAATAAAATCCAACGAAGCTACAGTCACCGGGCAGACAGAAGCCCTGCCCATCACGCGAATCTGCGTGTGTTCTGAAAGGAATTTGACCCGCGAATGAAGCGAGTAAACTCAAATGTTCCTGCAGCTATTTACGCGCAAATATCGCGATTTATCCGCGCGTTCTGCGTCTGGTGTGAACACAGCATGACATTTCAAAATTTCAAACAACTGCACAAAGCTTTGTTTAATAAGAATGTAAGTTGCGCATTCCTGCTTCTTTAGTACTCGCACACTTACAGTATATTAAAGGGGAGCTATAATGCAAAAATCCCTTTTATAAGGGGTTTAAACAGTTGTGTGGCAGCAGTGTGTGAATATAACCAGCTCCTAATGGTCAAATTTTATTCATTTTATTTTTATAATCACACTTGAGAGAATCAGTCTGCAGGAACACTTTGATTGACATTCTCCCTTTGTACGTGTCATCAGAGGTGGAAAGCCCCACCCACTAGTGACCACCTCTCAATGGCACAAGACGTTGAATCTGCCACTATGCTGACACAAAGGCATCTGTAGCTCCGCCCTCTTTAAAAATTGGAATTTAAAGTGGCAGTCACCAAAACGACATAACAATCAAAGCCTAAAAGGGGCAGTTTTAAGAGCTATAAAACATTATCTGTGTGATATTTTGAGCTGAATTTTCACACATACACTCTAGGCACATCACAGACTTATTTTACATCTTGTAAAAAAAAATAGGTTCCCTTTAAAACTGCATTACTAAGATTTGAGATTAATTTTAGGAGGGGCAAGCAAAATAATAGGGTTGTGTGTGTGTGTGTGAGTGTGTGTGTGTCAGACACCAGTGAGCATTGTGCGTTCAGACAGCAGTGCAGGCCTGAAGCTAATGTGCAGAGATGGATCAGTCTTTTGGGTAGGTCATGCTGAACAATAATATTGATGTCCAGAGCATCTGACAGCGGCGTCAGTCAGAGAAGAGAAAACCACACCTCATATTGCAGACAGCCAGACTACTGAACTCCGCTCAATTCAATTCGTTTGCTTTCACTACATTTTTTCAATGATATTTAGACTTTTTTTTAATTTATTTTATTTTTTTGGACTTTTTTTATAACACTAAATAAAGCCGTGTGATGCTCGTGTGAGTGTGTGTGTGCGTACTGCGCAGTTCCAGCATCAGCACCATGAGGCTGAAGATCTGAGACAAAGAACATCCCTGTAAAATCCGCAACAGAACACTCCAAATCACCACAAAACCCACACCACCGCCCACACACACACTGCTGATCTTTAAAAAGCAGGACTGAAATCAAATTGATGCAATAGTTGCATGTTGTGTGAGTAACTGTAGTGTGTGCTCTCATTTATGGGCGTGATAGTCTTGCTGCAGTACAACGGCCACACACACACTCAGTCCGGCAATATAACATCCACAAACGCAGATCATAACAGCCGAGAAAAACAAAACCACGCCTATTTTTGGAATAATTAACATGATTAAATCCTGGAGATCAACATATGCGACTCTGTCCGAACAGTGCACTGGTTTACAATCAGTTCAGCCCAACACGACTGAAGCCTGGCATTTAATCCTGCAGTGTTTTTGCTGCAAACATGCAGACAATTAAAGATTGCGTTAATTGAAGGATGAATATAAATGCACGGACTTACAGTGATCTTTGGGATGTTCTTTTTGCCTTGGTAAGACATGGTTAGTTGTCGGTGGATGCAGCTGTCTTTATTCTGCCCTTTTGCTGATGTTAGTGGTGGCGCACACTGCTCGGGATTGTCTGATTTAAGGGCTCCTCCCTCCGCCCCGCCGGGTGTCATGTGGGATTTCAACCGCCAGAGGGCGGTGCTGGGATCTTATTCAACTGAATCGGTTCATTCGAACAGCTCTTTTCACTGAACCGGCTTAAAAACAAAAAGTGATTTACAGTTTGCTGTTGTGTAAGAACTTATATTGTACATTATTAATTGATGTATTAATTAATTACAACTTATTTACTTATCTAAATTGAACACTAACTTGTATTGGTGATTTATTAGCCTACTTGTGTCAGAAGTTCATAAAGGCTATGAATCATGAACATATAATATATTAATTATTATGATAGGCTAGCCAATTAATAGCAAAAAAAAATAGTGTATACTCCATCAGCTGTTTTAGTTTCTGTCAGCTTTATTCTGCCACCTTCCACCTTCCTGGATGTAGGCTGCTTTATCCCTAACTTATCCTCTTTAAATGCACTTTTATCAAACAATATTAGATTATTTGCTCATTTTTAGAAAAAAAGCCTTTATTAACATTACAATAAAACACTTTTATTCTCAAGAGAATTGATCTCAGATATTTCTATCTGCAAAGGCTATATTGCCTTGCGTTTTTAAGCCTGAATGTTATTTGAATGCATCAGACGTGTCTACTACATCTACCTTTGTAATGTTGCTAATCAAAGACTAGACAGGCAGTTTCTCAGTGACGGTGAACAAAAGAGGAGTGTGTGTTGAGGAGAACAGCTGCTCTGATCCACCCTGACATGAGGCTCCTTTGTCTGAGCAGAGCCCCCCTGTCCAGACCACCCCACACACACACACACACACACACACACACACACACACAGACGCACAGAGACACTTACATGCACACAGACAGACACACACACACATTTGTAATGCATCTGCCTGATGACATACAGATCAGCTACTACAGGATCTTCTCAGTCTAAAAGGATTAGATAATATTATGTGGATCAGTACTGCATATCCTCATCATGTCCGCAGGATCAAATTCTCAAAACTTAAGTCAACATTCACACCCGAAACATTGGCTAACAAGCAGTACAGGACATTTTGCACATTTACACATCTCTTTTCAAAAGGTTGAAAGTGTAAAACAATAAAATAATGCAGAACTGAATACAAGAGCAACATTTTCATTCACATCTGTAAAAAAAACAAACAGAAAACCAGTGTATTTTTTACTGCAATGCAATCATTCATTCATTTTCTTGTCAGCTTAGTCCCTTTATTAATCCAGGGTCGCCACAGCGGAATGAACCGGCAACTTATCCAGCACGTTTTTACACAGCGGATGCCCTTCCAACCGCAACCCATCTGTGGGAAACATCCACACACACACACACACACAGTACGGACAATTTAGCCTACCCAATTCACCTGTTCCGCATGTCTTTGGACTGTGGGGGAAACTGGAGCACCCGGAGGAAACCCACGCAAACGCAGGGAGAACATGCAAACTCCACACAGAAACACCAACTGAGCCGAGGATCGAACCAGCGACCTTCTTGCTGTGAGGCAAACGTGCTACCCACTACGCCTGCAATGCAATCAATCCTCCTCATTTCTTTGAACTAAAATCAGTTTTCAAAAATAACCCAATTAAACATCTAATTATTTCAGTCTCAAATCGCAAGTCTCACACATTACACCAGAAATAACAGTGATTAAAACGAGGTAAACTGATATACAAGTGCTCAAAATGATAAGAAAACATTAATTACATTTTAAACAACAATATTTAATGATTATTTAATGAAGCAATGTGTACGTTATAAGTAATGTTCCTATGGTATTTGTACACTCTCAGAATTAAAGGTACGTGAGCTGTCACTCAGGTGATACCTTCTCGAAAGGTACACATTTGTACCTGAAAGATCCATATTAATACCTCAAGGGTACATATTAGTACCTCAAAAGTGCAAAAGTATTCCTCTTAAAATTTTTAGGTATTAAAATATACTTTTGAGGTACCAGCATGGACCCTTCAAGTACAAATGTGTATTCCACCCCAGTGACGGCTCGCGTACCTTTATTTCTGAGAGTGTCCTTGTTGAAAAATCCAGCTTAAACCAGCCTAGGCTGGTTGGCTGGTTTTAGCTGGCCGACCAGGCTGGTTTTAGAGGGGTTTTGGCCACTTCCAGGCTGGTTTCCAGCCTGGTCTTAGCTGGTCAGGCTGGGAGATGACCAGCTAAAACCAGCTTGACCAGCCTAGCCAAGCTGGGAGTCCAGTCAAAACCAGCTATATTCAGCTTAAACCAGGCTGGTCAAGCTGGTTTTAGTTGGATTTGGCTGGTAATTTTCCACCCTGACCAGCTAAAACCAGGCTGGAAATGGCTGGAAACCAGCCTGGAAATGGCCAAAACCCCTCTAAAACCAGGCTGGTCAACCAGCTAAAACCAGCCAACCAGCCTAAACTGGTTTAAGCTGGATTTTTCAGCAGGGGTATGATAATTGGATTATATAAGTGACCCTATACAGAAATAAAGCTTTAAACACTTAAGAGTTTGTGTTAAAGTAATGACTTTTAGAGTTTTTAAAAAAATGACATCAATGTTCTGAAACTGTTAGCCAAATCATGATTGAAAGAAATAATGAGCTGCTTCTTCAGCTTCTAGTTGAGTCAGCGCTATTCCTGTCCACTAGATGGCGGTGTTTGATTAAGACGGTTTGCCATTGCTAACACTATAAACCGATAAAGTTGGCACAATTTTTCCCCGAGCATGATTAATAATTCAGGTTTACACACCCTTTACAATCTGCTCAGTGCTTTCAGTCAAATTCTACACAAAAACATGCACTTTTTTTATGGTCATAGCGTGCTGCAATGTAAACTCAGAACAAGGCTATGTGTGTGTAAACATTAGCAAAGCTGATCAAATTCGCAGGATAAATATATTAAGCACAGTTCGATGGTTTATTAGATTGTTTAAAAACAGAGAGCTGAAATAAGCAACAAAAGGTTTTTAATATTTACAGAGTACACAAGAACTGTTTCTGTTTTGTGTAACACAGCGTAGCACATGTTGTATATGATATTGACAGCACGCTGTGGTTTGGAGTGTTTACATCTGAAAGACATTTTTAGAGCATAATCTGCTTGTCTACAATACCCACAGTTGAATTATTAGCAATCTGAATAATAACCCTGCTGAAAAAAACAGCTTAAACCAGCCTGGTTGGCTGGTTTTAGCTAGTTGACCAGGCTGGTTTTAGAGGGGTTTTGTCACTTCCAGGCTGGTTTCCAGCCTGTTCTTAGCTGGTCAGGCTGGAAAATGACCAGCCGAAACCAGCTAAAACCAGCTTGACCAGCCTGATTTAAGCTGGACTAAGCTGGTTTTGGCTGGGCTCCTAGCCTGGCTAAGCTGGTCAAGTGATTCACACACTCAAGGCTGGGAGCTGCTCATCAACTGATTACATGGAATATGCATGCACACCTCTTTCATGAGTCTTGCTATACTGTTACAATGCATTTTCCTTGCCTTGCTTTGCCCTGTTTTTTGACCCTCGTCTTGTTTGTTTATGTTGTAAGCTGCCTGCCTGTACAGACCTGTGTTTTCACATTTAAATGCATATACTATTTTTTTTACAGTATAAGGACGTGCACTTAGGAAACATGGGTAACATGGGTTTTATAGAAAATATGAATGGAAATTTGAATGGAAAACACAATTGCACCTACTGTATTATGTTGTGTATTATTGTGCATAAATAATATAAATAAACCTAAACAAAAAAACCAAAATTGATTTATTTATTCATTTATTTATTTATTCATTTATATATATATATATATATATATATATATATATATATATATATATATATATATATATATATATATATATATATATATATATATATATATATATATTTAAATGTACCAAATGAGCGTGTGCAGGCTAATGACATTATGAAAGCAAATTATTTAATATATTTTGTCTTGACAGGAGCAGCTGCTTCCTGTTGCTTCCATCAAAAACAAGCTAACATTGAACGAGATTTCTTCTGCTGGTACGCTAAATTAAGCAAAATGTCTATTAAATCAAGGCCACATTTAATAAGAGACTCCATCTATCACCTGACAGCAATAAGATCTTCACAACAACAAAAAAAGGTTCAAAATGCAAGTCAAAGTTTTAAACAGTTTTGTGAAATATGGTGCTTTTAGATTAAGATAAGGCAGAATACAAGAATATTGGGAGAAAAACATTTTATACTTCATTTTCTAGAATTTTAGCAAGAATAAACCTAAATAAACTTATAATACATATAAAAGATACATCTCAAACACCCTGGTTTGTGTAACTACATTTTTCAATGAATGCATTTTGAATACAATAACCTACATAGACATGTTAAAAAAAGTCAAATAAATTAACATTTACTAATGCGTTATTAAAATTCATAGTTGTGCTGAGTTAACATGAATGAACAATAAATCACTTTAATTTTAATTAACTAACATTAGCAAAAGTTAAATATATACTATAATATATGTATTGTTGTTTTTTAATTTTTCATGTGTATAAATCTTAACGATTGGACCATTATATTAAAGTGTTACCCAATAAATTAACAATTATAACAATAGTCACAACTATGAATGAATAAATAAATAAATGAATAAATGAATAAATAAATAAATAAATAAATAAATAAATAAATAAATGAACAAATGAATGAATAAATAAATGAATGAATAAAGAAATAAATGAATAAAGAAATAAATGAATAAAGAAATAAATGAATAAATAAATAAAGAAATAAATAAAGAAATAAAGAAATGAATGAATGAATGAATGAATGAATAAATAAATAAATAAATAAATAAATAAATAAATAAATAAATAAATGAATGAATGAATGAATGAATGAATAAGAGAATAAATAAATTAATAAATAAATAATTGAATAGATGAATAAATAAATAAATAAATGAATAAACAAATAAATAAATGAATAAATAAATAATTAAACA